CCACCTGGTCCTTGAGGGGTAAAGGAAAAAAATAAATAATTAATTAATTACCAAAAAAAAACAAAAAAAAAACAGGCAGAAAAACGAAATAAAGTGGAACTCTCTCTCAGGAAGACACTTTTTATTCATGTTTTCCTCCAGGGCTTCTGTAGTTCCAAAGGTAAGGAAATTGTTTTAATTAGAAAAATTATCATGATACATATTTTGTACCATGACATTGCATTTTTTGCCATATCGTCCACCCCTATATGCAGTCAGGTATGTCCAAACTTCGGACCAGTGCCGGTCCCAGGCCCTGGCACACATTTCAAACCTTCCTAAGCCATAAAGCAGAGATAAACTAGTCAGGTCTGCAGGAATTACAGTCAATGTTTACTGTATGTTCGCTTTAATCAACATGCAGCAACATCTATTCTGGTGCTGATAATCAAAACAATGAGCTTTTCAAAGGGGCCAAGCAGATTAAAAGCGAACTCTCCCGAGACATAAACATGTAGACCGAAGTGGAAAAGCTCTTAACAATGCTGAGTATGCTGGGAAGGCTCTTCTGAGAGCACGCTGTACTTTCACGCACTTCCTGTAACCCCCCACCCCTGTTACCCAATCAAACAGGAAAGCTCCACTTGACTGTAGGTATGCACTCTCTACATGTCTGTTTTCTACCCAGCCTTTGTGTGCTCTAATTTACTTGGTAGATAGCACTGAGACAGTGAGGCAGGGCAAGAGGGTAAAAGGAAGTCAGTAGGAGTGAGGCAGAGAGGTCACATACACAGACATATATTGATAAAAAGTCTCATCAAGGCAAGAATCCACACCCACTTTATGATTACACAGAGTCATCCTCCTCAAAACGACAGGGGAAGAGAGGCCAGATCAGTGTAATATCTGGACAACAGATGGGGTGGAGGGCAACTGCAGGGCTGCCATGCTTCAGGAGTTAATTCTCTCTGTCAGGGTATGTTTTGGGCACACAGTAACAGGACGTTGTGTAAGAAACAGAAGTTAAATAAGCATTCCGAAAAGGAAACAGGAGAAGATAGCATCTCATAATTAGTATTCTGGAACATGCAGCTAGGGACTCATATTCCCCTTCAGTAGTAAAATAAAATAAAAAACATATTTGACCCTCGCTAAGCATCTGTGAATGGAATTCAGCCGAAAAAGTAAATGCCACGTAGCAGCATGGAAGCAGATAAAGGCTGGATGGCCTTTGGTTAATTGTGTATAACTCACTTCCTCTGCTTTCCTATTTTTCCCCCTCAACACTGACTCTGACATTTTCAAATCAGATATAAACCTTGTTTAAAAATCCCAGCAATCAAGTAAGGCCGTTTCTTCTAAAAGAACTTGTGAGATTTGTGCATAAGATGCAGTTTCTGGCTAATTGTGCACTGGAAAAGGAAAACAAATGTTACTTCCTATTGATTTTTTTTTTCATTAAATGCTTCATCTACAGTACTGTGTAAAACCAAAAGCCCACTCTTTGTTTATTTAAAATGGCTATCAAGTACAAGTTATTCATTTCCAAAAGATCTTTTGGAGTAGATTAGATACAAGATAATCCACTTGCATGAGGAAGGAGATAGTCAAAGTAAAGTAAGTGGAAAAACAGGGGTCTCCAAAACTGGAGTTCAAAAAAATGATTAAAAGCTATGGAGAAAATGGGATTGTGCAAGACCTGGTAAACCACCAAAACTGTTACCACCAGATAAACAGCACTTGAAGGAGAAAATCAAGCTCCACTCTGGCTTCAGATCTGGAAAAAATACACAGGTACCTCTTTCCATCCTTCCACTGTGAGAAGACAACTTAATGTTATGACCTGAAAGAATGTGCCAGAACAGAGAAAAGGAAATGAACAATAAAAGAAGAACCTGTGCTAATCAAACAAAGAGGCTGCTGGAGTTCTCAGAACAATGGACTAGGTAGAGCATTCTGGAAGTAAAAGTAGGGTGAAACATTTCTTAAACGAATACACAAAGACCCCTAACCGGCTACAAAAAGTGCTTGAAAGCTGTCATATATGCCAGAGAGGGTGCTACTTTTTTAATAGAATATAACAGTGGCTTAATATTTGCTGAGAAATAGTTTGGAGCAGAGGTTGCGTTTACCTTGTTTCACTTTAAAATTCCACAAAATATGTCGTCTGGACATAGTTAGTTGGTGAGGCTTCTGTGTAATTTTCTGGTAAATATATGTTCTGCTTTATTATTATTTATTAGATGATGGGTGGTCTCTGACTTTTGCATAGTACTTTAAATCAAAACAACATGGCTGCAAGTTAAATCAATTGCGAAATCAAAGCAATCGCTGAAAAAAACTTGTAGTGTCTTTTGATTTAATGGCCTGATGGGCATATTACAGTGCCTCCAAGAACATGTCGATGCTATTGTGAAAGGAAAAGTATGCAGTTGGACAATACAGCCACCATCTGAGGAATCAATGTGGTGCAGATGGAGAAAAGCTTTGCTGTCAAAACATATGAGCAATTTTTCTTTTCTTATCTTTCTGCTCTTATTTGAAAGCTGAAGTTGTACAGCCTTTATACTGAAGCGAAAAAAGTGGCATGTTTGAGAGGAGGGAGGTGAGAAAAACTGATGTAGAAGAACATGGTCAAAGCACTCTAGGTTGTTTATGCATGCCAGCTTAGGTATTTATCAAAAAACATGAAAAAAAATCTGGTGGCACAGAGTCTTCAGATGGCTAGACTAGATAAAAGCTCAGTCTAAACATGTGGTGGCCACCCGCTAAACAGTGAAACATTAGTGTCCATTAGACAGCCACACACGTCAAATGTCACACAAAATGTGAAATAACAGGCTTAGCCCCGAAAAGCACTCACACGCTATGGGTAACTATGGGATTAACCTACACTTAACAATTAATCAGAAGCGCAGCAAAAACACACAAATCCTACAAGCGAACCCAGAAAAAGAGTTTCCAAGTTTATGTAGGCATTCCTCTAGGCTTCAACTGATCCTGAATAAGACCAAACTGAAGGCAGAACCTTCTTACAGATCACCAATAATAGGTTCCACCCCATACTATGTATTTATGGAGCGTGCACAGGAGCACAGTCATGCTGGAACAGGAAAGGGTCTTCCCCAAACTCGTGTCACAAAGTTGGAAGTATATAATCATCTAAAATGTCTGGAACTAAGGGTCCCAAACCCTAAAAAAACAGCCCAGACCATTAACCCTCCTCCACCAAACTTTACTGTTGGCACTATGCATTCTGGTAGGTGTTCTCCTGGCATCTTCCAAACCCAGATTTCTCCATCAGACTGCCAGGTAGTGATTCAGTACTCGGCAGGCCTGCTCTCTGAGTTAATTTTTTGTGGGCTACTGCTTCATGGCTGAGCTGCTGTTGCTCAACAATAATAATAATAATAATAATAATAATAATAATAATAATAGGACTTACAGTTCACTGTGGCAGATCTAGCAGGGCAAAAAAAATTCACAAACTGATGTGTCAAAGGTAAAAGGTCCTATGACAGTGTTTAAAGTCACTAAGCTCTTCAGTACAAATCATTCTACCGCCAATGTTAGTCTATGGAAATAGCATGACTATGTGCTTGATTTTATACACCTGTTAGCAATGGGTGTTGCTGAAACAGCTGAACTCAATAATTAGTGTCCTTTTTATCTATAGAAATTAACAAAAGTAGGTCACATTCAGCTGAGCGAATTAGGTTTTTGTGGTACTATGAGCAAACTTGTCAGATAATTGTTTACAGCGTTTAAACATTAAAACATAGATCCTCTATGTAAATTTTTAAAAAGTTTCCTTTAAGCGTTCTGATCTGATTTAAAATAGTCGAGTTCCTGCAGTGTCAGCAGCTCCTGAAGTCAGTTTTAGGACTGGGGCTCTACAGGAGGGCTGAAGTTTTGCTCCTGGCTGTGAGCAGGAGGAGGAAAACACAGGAGAGCTCTGCAGAAAGGGCATGGGCGTAACTATAATGATCCTGAGCACGCACAGTCACCGCCCCCGCCCTCACTTCCCTTCTCTTTTTCTCTTTCATTTCATTTGGAATGGCCGGGCGTGGAGCTAACTTGCAGGGAAAAGCACCAACATGTGACATTCATTAGAGCTAAATCCGGTAAAGGCGAGGGAAAGTGAAAAAGGAAGAGGAGTTTGGAGAACAACACCTACAGGACACCATGCTGAAGAGTTTAGCGCATAAACCTATTAGGTTCTCACTTCGCTCTAATCCACACTAATGTGATCATACTGGATGCAAAGTTTCCTAAAAAGGTTGTGTAGAGACAAATTCCAGACTCATAAGAATTCTCTCAATACAAAAGGGAAAAACAGTCAAAGGCCCACATCCTGCAAATTTGAATTGTCCTCACTCTTTTCCTCAAGAGCTTATTTACCACTGTTAAAGGGCCCATATCCTACATTTTTCTTGTACTTAAATTTTTTCTCAAGTTCCACTTATGATGTTTGAGTTGTTTTATCCAACAAAATCAGTCATAATTAATTTTTACATGACCTTTTTTTCCCCCAACCCCTCTTAATGCCTTAGAATTATACAAGTTTTTGTTACTGTGCCTTCATATGTAAATAAGCTATCTTCTGATCAGCTGGCCTATATTGTGCCTCATTCAAAAAGCAGTCTGGGCTGAAACACACCTTATAACTTTAAAATAAATGAGTGGGGCTTTTATGCGTTTTAATACTTCAAAATGTACTATTCACTCCCCATGGCCTTTAAAGGAACACTAAGCAGCCTGTTTTGAATCCAAAGTTTTTGTGAAGTCACGAAAAACAATTTCTGCCCATACAGCATTTTATCAGGCCCACTAGCGCTGAATTTTTAAGGAGTGTTTTAGCTTGCAGTGCTTTCTGTATAAAGCACAGGGCAATCACAACATAAGGTTGTTTACTTATACTAATGATAAAGGCACAACAAAAACAGACTGTTCCATTTTAAGAGGTTAGAAAACGGTCATGTAAAAGTGGAAACCTTTAACGTATAACTGCAGAGACAAACCTTCTCGATTTCCCGAGCTTTGGCTGCGATGGCCTGAGATCGCCGCTCATGGAAGTCATCCATAATTGTGGAACCTTCATCCGTAGCAGCCAATGGTTCATCTGTCGGACCCTCCATCACTGGTATCTCCTCCTACGCAACACACAGAGCCTTTTCAGCTTACATAGTTCACAATGATCCAACAAATGCTGACATTCCTTAAACATGCACACATTTAGATTTATAAATATGAACTTTATGATGGAGAAAATCATTTTCCAAGTTGATAGGTTTCATGAAAGGTTCCTACAGCATTTTAGTTGACTTACAAATATTAGTATTTATTAATTTATTTCACCTACACAGAGATAAATTAGGGGCTAATATTCTGATTTTTAGAACATCGGAGATGTCCACCAGAACAGCTTACATTGAGTTTCTTTTGGATATTCATCTGCATGTAAACACCATCTATGATCACAGTTAAGCCTCAAGATGAGCACTGACGGGAGCTCAAAAACCCAAAGCAGAAGATTTTAAAAGGCCAAAGACAACCATCCACCCAAAAAGAAAGTAATGGAAAAGCAGCTGCATTGCACAATAAAGGAGTATCAATGTGGAAAAACAGGGCCAAAAGGGACCACTGGAGATGTTTCTTCTTTCAGGCTATGAGTAGCAGGCCAGAACATTGCTCATTAAACAAACACAGAGCTAGGGGTAGACATGGCTGGGACAAAGCCACATTTGCCTCCTTGTGTTCACCAAGAGCCAGAAAAAAGGCTGGAACAGAGAATGCTCACATATCCTGATGTGCCATCCAATTATTCCTCATTCCATTCACCCTGACAGCACATTAGTAATGCATTCAGTGCGTGGACTGTTCTATATCTTTCATGGCTGAAATACAGCACGGCTATGGCTCGCAGAGGACTCATTACTAAGAAAACAGCCAGGACACAAAGGAGATTATTTAGAGAAATTATTAGCAAACTACATAGGGATTCTTAACAGCATTAGGGCTAGGATTACCAGGACCAGGGTGAGGGTTTATGTTTAGATTTTGGGTTAAGGGTAAGGATACGGTTAGGGTGACGTTTAGGGCAAATAAAAGTGAATTTAACAGATATTTAGTTTAAAGCAATTTAAAAGCATGATAAGCATCTACAAAGCATTTACAGGGGGCTATCTAAATAAAATGTTACCATCAGATTTTAACAATGTGAAACTACAGAATACAGGAATGATTAGTGAATTACTTTTATTCACAATACATCATCATGATACGTATTACTGAAGTGATATCATTAGCAGACATTATCAAACATAAAAAAAGAAACAAGATATTGTGCATTAACAAATATATATATAGAAAAACATGCGAAAAAACATCTAGATGACCCCTAAGACTTTTGGGGATAATATTCTGTGGACTGATTAGTCAAAAGTGGAACTTTTTGTAAGACATCATAAGAACATCATACCAACAGTCATACATCGTGGAAGTAGTGTGATGGTCTGGGCTGCTTTGCTCTGCATAACATGGACGACTTGTCATAACTAATGGACCTCTATCAGAAAATTCTGAGGAGAATGTCCGCCTGTCAGTACATGACCCAAGCGCAGCTGGGTTATGCAGCAGGACAATGATTCAAAGTACACAAGCAAGTCCACCTCTGAATGGCACAAAAGAAAAAAAAATGGAGTGGCCGAGTCAAAGTCCTGACTTGAATCCCATTGAGATGCTGTGGCAAGACCTTAAACGAGCAGCTCATGCTCAAAAACCCTCCAACGTAGCCAACTTAAAACAATTCTGCAAAGAAGAGTAGGGCTAAAATTCCTCCACAGTCAAGTAAAAGACTCATCACAAGTTATCGTAAACGTTCGACTGCAGTTGTTACTGCCAAGGGTGCCACAACAAGTTATTAGGTTTAGGGGGCAATTACCTTTTCATGGCTGATACAGGTCTTGAATAAATCTTTATCTTCAATAAATGGAATGATCATTTAAAAGCAGCATTTTGTGTTTACTCATTGTCTTTATCTGGTATTAAAATTAGTTGGATGACCTGAAACGTTTATATGTGACAAATTAGCCATAATGGAAGAAACTGAGTGAGGGGCAAACAATTTTTCTCAGCACTAAGTGTCTTCTCTGCACATAATGAGTTGACTTATTTTCACTCAATCAACAAAATATGACATTTGACCTGGGGTGCTCAAACTTTTGGTCGTATATACGTACAGTCTCGGAATTATTAAATTGTGCCGATATTTAATGATGAACAGACCAACAGAAAAACTCACTGACATACATCAATTGATATTAATAATACTTTGGTTTATTCTTTTACTGTATGTAAAAGTTATAGATTTTCCATGTTTCTTCCAATAGAATGCCAACAATAAAAAAGTAATCAAATAAAAATCATAATGAAATCTCAAACACAAATTTGTTATCAGTTTAGAATACATACTTTCAATGGAATTACTCTGTTTGAGTGAGCTTCGAATGACAGGTAGTACTAAATTACAAAGCTTTAGTTGTGAATGATTATAACAAATGCTAAGGGTTAGATGAGGACAAATAATCATGAACATGGATATTCAATAGAATTAAAATGATTCTGGTAGTCTTTCTATGCTAGGCAAAAAAAGGACATAACCACCCACTGGTCCAAGCTGGTCCAATCACAAAGCTCACATATTCTGCAGCATCATATTAAAACACATTCTTGACAGATACTTAAAGCCGGTGTGAGGTATGTTTGCTAGTGGGTGAGCGCTGAGTAGTTTCAGTCCATCTCTTCTTTGTTCTACAAACAATGAATCTCGAAAAAGCAAGAGTGTTTGTTGAACCTAAAAGGCCGCAAATTTAGAGAAGTTTACACTGGACCCAGCCTTTTCATCTTCACTACAAGGTTATGGGTTATGCCCCGTGAGCACGGTCATGTAGAGAGATCAAAAGATCAGAGAGTGCGCACAGTGTGTGTGTTTCGGGAGGCCGCAGATAATGCTATTTGGTTTGCTATATGGCACAGATTACAAAGAGCTTGCGCGTTGTTCACAAACTAGAAGGAAAAGTGGAACTGATGAACTGCAAAATCAAAGAAACTGCAACAACGCCCAGAATTGCAGAACCTTAAGCCCAAACTCAAATCAAAGTCAAATAACATGCAAGAATTGTGTTAAAACAAATACATCACTCATAGCAGTGACAATATGTTTCTATTTCCCAGCCATTACAGTGTAGAGAAGGAACTCTTTCTAAAGGCAGAGAGAAAATAAACTCACTCTGGGTTGTGAGAACTCCCTAGAGTGCGTCCAGAGTGCTCTGTGCATTTGATAAGATCATATGATAAAGCTAAGAGTCTGAGTTAATGAGTTTTTCCCTCTTTTCTCACCATGGATACGGCCTGGGTGGCCTGTCTGTCCTCTCAGCTCTCCCTCTGCATCCTCCTGCGTTTAGTGTGTGAACCCGGTTTACAGTGAGGGTAAACATGGCAGGGACAGTTAGCCTTTCATGTGCCAGGGCAGCACACGTTAAAATGTGTCCAAGATATTTAAGAAGCTTAAGCAAAACAGCTTTTTAAAGCTGCACTATGTAAGATACAGAGACTCGGAGACCACTCTGGTGAAAACGTTGTAGAATTGAACCCTCACTTGATGAATCGAAAACATCGAACTAGAGGACCAGCCTTGTGTCTGGAGAACAGACTTCATTTGCGTGCACAGTACCCAGACACTTCAGGCCAGCCCTTTGGACACTGGAGAGGGCCATGTTTATATAGGCCCAGGCACATAGCTGCCCTTGGACCATTGCCAAGTAGGTATAGAAGCAACAGCTGTTTCTAGTCTATATATAGACAGCCAGGAACAACTGTTCAGAATGTCCTATTGTCCTCAGATCCAGCACACAGAAATAATAGAGCAGATTCCTTCAATTCATAATTGCACGTAATGTGCCGAGAAACATTTTGTAACGGGGGTTGTTCTTTAGACCATTTCCCTAAGCAGATGAATCTGATGACTGCGAGCGCATTGAAAGAGCATTCATAGAGAACTGTGAATTATCTGCTATAGTCATCATATCGTCAACAACAGAATGCTGATTTTGCGTTTATGACCTGAAGATTGAGCTGGACCCTTGTGTGCGACATTAATACATTAAGAAGTATGACGTGGATTGAAATACTCCTGTTAAATCCAACCTGACTAGCAGAAGTGCAACACCACCAGATTTTAGAGTGACTTCTTAGAGTGATTCAGTAATGTTACTTCTTTCAATTTTGACAAATAATTCTTACATAGTGCAGATTTAATTAAAGAGGAAAATTTACTCATGATGACGAAGCAAATGCTGGCAGAATTCCAGGCAAACTGCACTATTATTTCAGTGATGTTGGCTATGTTCTAAAGTAGTAGGGGAAAAAAAGCTTTGCTATGTAAAGGCATTACCAGAACCCAGATCAGGATTCTTACTCTTATAAGACTGATAGTGGCCAACATTTTGAAAAAAGCCTTTCCATTCAGATTTGAGCCACATACATATGTGGCCCTAGATAAGATACATATCTGATGCGAACTGCGACTGCAAAGAGAATTATCAGATTGGACAGTTTACTTTTTTTCATCCCATTTCAAAATGCATGCATGCATGCAGGTTAATTCTGGACAGACTAGCGTATATACCTATGATAAATGTGTGGCTTACAAACAAAGACCTGAACTTCAGTTTGAAAGATCATCTCTGAAATAGAGTGGGTAACAAAACTTGAAATATTTGTCCGAACTCAACAGTACATGATTATCATCACATCAGGTTTGATTGGGTTTGGACATCATTTCTCAAATATTTATCAGACTTGGGTGGGGTTCAAATTTCACATTCACAAATTTCATAGTTCAACTCCCACCTTTAATAACGGATTCTAGCATGTATTTCACCCGCTTCAGTTTTTTAGCCTGTATTTACCACTGCTTCAGTTTGGTCGTACTGTATTCTTCCTGCTCACTTTTACTACCTTAAATAGTTTTTAAACATGGAACACAAGAGCCACTTATGTTTTGGCACCGTGGTCCATTAAGCTGTATTTGATAAAACTTTAGGAATGTGGAGTCTAGCTTAATTCCTTCTTCTTCCATCACACCCTCCCTCAATCATTCCCTCCCTCCCTATCACCTTCTCTCAATCATTCCCTCCCTCACTCAGTCCCTTAATTCCCTCCCTCAGTTCCTCACTCACCCACCCACATTAAGAAGGTTAAAAATACTCCAGTATCAATGACACTGTGTGTCCTTATGACCCTGTGTGTTCTTCTAAAAAATGAACGGAATAATCTAAAAAATCGAAATCCACATTTAAGTTAAAGGGCCTGTAATGTGAATGTAGCCTAAATGAAGGATGATGATGATGTCCTGGTAAGAACCTGCGCATGTGTGTCATGTCTTCCTAGATGTCACTCACCTTGGAGGCTGACACAGAGCTGTGGGGTGATCCATCTCGGGATGCGCTCACCGAGGGCCCTGGGGCTCTGTCCCTGTCTACACAAGATCAAAGAAAAGGAAAATAAAGAAGATGGGATGTGGGGGAAAAAAAGGATGAGACATCAGAAATAACATTCGCTAACAATGCTGCTTTGGTTTGAACATGCATCAAAAATCCTCCAGAACAGCAGTGTCTAGGGTCATCGTTGACTCAGTGGGTGCCATAAACGTTTGCACGTGTTGAGGCGGATGCTGCTGTGCCTGAGGGCTGCAGAAGCAGATGGTTCTCTCCATGATGAGCAGAGAACTGTCCTCCAGGCACACATAGCCTGGACCCTGCCGCTTCAGCACATAACTCACTATACTACACTGCACAGCCTAACTAGATTTTTAGAAGAGCGTTTCAAGAATTTAAGAGATTATGATCTAGAATCAGTCTAAAGGACACCGTTAAAGTCATTAAGTCTTGTTTAATAGAAACAAACACATTTTTGTCATTACTCTTGTCACAGAAGCAAGAAATTTCACAAACGCAGAACCTGATGGTAGAGGATGTACTTCAACACAATGTAAATGTCAATCAAATGTAAATGTAATTAAACACTAAAGTTTTTTTTATTTTTTGGAGGGGGGGATGGGGGTGTTACACAATTTTCTCCACAATTCAGCCACAGCCATAGGGCTAATGCCTAACCGCAACAAAAACATCTATTTTAGATTTGAGGTTTTCTGCAGGTACCCTCACCTTTTAGCCTGGTCTATGGCCTGCACTCACTGCATTACCAAACTAGCAGTAGGCTCTCTTGGGAAGCAAAGAGATACTGCAAATGCAATCTTTTAAAGAAACTTATTACTGAACAGTCCTCATTCACAACCAGTGGACAGGCTTTAGCGCATATTTCTGTCACTCATTCAGCAATGAAAGCATCAAAAATAGGCTCCATTCAGTGTGAGCTGAAATTTCAGAGTTCATCTTAACAAAAATCACCCCACTTATGTAGAAACAACAAAAGTATACACACTTTATTTTAACAAAGGTCAGGAGTGAAACGAAAATGACCCTGGCTGCCATAATGTAGCACCCATAAAGACTAAGAAACAACAACAGCAGGTTTTGTAATTAGATTCTATATTTGACTCCTTAACACAATCATTTTTACAATCCTTGTCCAAACAAGTGGCTGATTAGCAACGCTCTCTCTCTGGCTACTGTGACTGATGTGTGACCTTTCAGATACACGCAAACAGAAACAGAACCCCTCCAAAAGAAAAGCGTGTATGTTCATGTGAGTGTATGTTATAGCAGATGGAAGCTTCATTTAGCTGATTTGGATGCAATATTAGAGGGACGCAAGAACTCTTAGGCATTCCTTTTTTTTCCCCCAAATGTTATAAACTAATCACTGCTAGGATATGTTGCACTTACCAGCACTTCTGCTTGGGCCATACGGTTCTTCAAACCCTGAAAGAAACACAAGAAAATCAACTGTTTGTGTCACCTTGGAAAAAAACATTAAATAATGTTTCCAAAGATTTTAGCATGATGCGCTCCTGTTGATGTACTATTTTACAATTATCATAATACCATCCAAGCCATGCTCTGGATTGTTTCTGTGACCCTACACTGACATGCACAATATATATCGCTCTTGCCTGGCTGTAAGTAGGGGTTAATATGAATTAAGGAATAAAGGAATTTTATTAATGCTCCTTCTGAAAGGGTAAATTGAGGTTACAACTGACTGTTTCATGATTCTTCTTTTCTCGGTAAGAGCACTTATGAAACACAGCATTCATATTAGAGATGGTCCAATCACTCACACCAGTCATGCAGATCTACAGTCGACAATGGAGCTTAGTCTCGTTGAGAAAGCGGTCATGCACTCTAATGGTGTAAGAGAGGTAGCGGACCAGAAGAACTCAATTATTACCCACAAAAATGAAACCAAAAACGCATCCCAGCTGGCTTTTGCTTTGGGACTACTTAAGAAGAGAGTTGTAATACAAGAGAATTTGACTAGGTGGCACTAGCCTAAAACGGTAGGTGGGTAAGAGAGGGGGGTCTCTGGGTTTGAAGTAATTTTGAACATTATGTAATTAATACTTAAAAAATAATGGAAAAATTAATGGAAAAAAGGCCTTTGTGCATGTAGGTCAACAGCATGTTCATCCTATACATCCTATCCCAAATGTACAGTACAACATCTACAAGTTCTACATGTACTGACGATACAGACAATATTTATCATGATAACGACATATACTGTCATATTGCCCAGACCTAATTTCACCCCGTACATTTAGATTTAGAGATATTTCCTAGTAAATAACAACAAAACATGGCCCGCATGCTAAAATAGTCTGAAGCCTCTGAGGGCAATGGAAACCAAGTAAACCAAGCCACAGCTTGTAAGTGTCAGGATGGTTAAATTAATCTACCTGTAAGTGGGATATAGAACCGCATGACAAGTTGCGTCTCTTGCTTGAATTCTTTAGTTGTTAAAAGCACACACAAAAAGCATAAAACATCACAAGTGCAATTTGAGTGCTTTGGAACAGAGGTTTTCAAACCTTTCTTAGTATTTATTTAAAAATAAACTGGATTATTTAGAATCATCTCTCATCTCTTCGAGGCTTAACTTTCCTCAATTTAAAAAAAAAAAGAAGTGGTGTTTCAAAGAGCTGATCTTTCGGCATCTTTCATCAAAGCAAGAAAGATATTAAACAGCTGTATATTTTTAGTTGCAATAGTTTCAGACATGTCACACATGCATATACTGCTATTTCTGTTTGTGCAACATTGTCTGTAGCACAACCGACTACGTCCATTCTGCTGCAAAAGATTACACACTTGTGTAACCTTAATCAATCTAGGGTTTGAAAACCTGGGCTTAAAAAATATAACAAGGAAAAAGGTTATGATGCTTTATCAGGTCAAAGGTCACAATGCAACACAGCAAAGTGCACCACACACTGACCCCCTGCATAGTCTTTGGTTTGAGTGCAGGGAAATCCCCACCACTGAGCACTCTCCTTTGGAAAGACTGGATGATTATGAGGAAAATCCATACCTGCAGGAGCATAACATACTCAAACACTGATGAGCAGGCCTGAACAAAAAACAGCTTTCACTTTCATTCCGCTCCATAGTCAGTCTGGCAAATATCAATGAACAGGTCTGTAAATCAAGCCCCAGTCAGCCAAGAAAGCAGCAATAACGACTCCATAAAGAAAAGTAGCTGTCATTTTGTCCAGTTTTGCTATACCAATAACCCAAGCAGCACCGATCCTCAGAGCACTGGTCACATTTGTTGCTTTTTCTTTGATTTCTTCACATCTACAATGGCCATCAAAAGTTTAGCTTTTTCAAATGTTTAAGAGCATGTCATCTTTGTCAGCTTGCGATAACTTAAAGGGCCCATATCTTATATTTTTTGTGTTTGATTTTCTTCTCTGAGGCCCGCTCTTAACATTGAGAACATTTATGCGTTATTATTTACCAAATCTTCATCCTTTAGAAATAACCAGGCTGTTTTGTTATTGTGCCTTTAAGACATGAGATATGTAAATGAGCTCTGTTCTGACTGGCTGCCCTGTATTGTGCCTAGACATGTGCTGGTATTCGGTAATTCGGTATACCACGATACTCAACGCATGTGGAAACGTTTCGCAGACACTTTGAAATACCGTCACTGTAATTTAGTCAAACAAACTGAGATTTCTTAGACACGCAGAGCAGCTCTGCTTTAACAAACTCCTACTGCACTTTCTCAACATGTGATACAGTCCCTCCTCTGAGCGGAGCTTATAAACAATCACTACAGCCACAGCACGGCAGAAGGAGGAGCAGAGAGATAACTTTTGTCCTTGAGAAAGGTCTAAACGCACGACCCACCCAGCTTAGAGAAAGGAAACATGCTCAGTCTCACGAATACACTGCAGTCACAAACTTTGTGCATATCAAAGTAAAAGGCACAAAAGCATCTCTAAGTTAACCTTAGCAGTACAGCAGACTTCTAATTAGCTGAAAGGTGAATTCAGCAGTTTGGCCTCAAGTTAAGATATTCACTTACTCATTCACAGTGTATCTACAGCAGGAGCAGGCACTCCAGTCCTGGAGGGCCGGATTCCTGCACAGTTTGGTGATGTTTCTCCTTAAGCACATTTGATCAATCTTCTCAGTTAACTGCCTGCTTTAGGTGATGTACTAGAACAGGGAAATCACCAAGCTGCACTGGACTCTGGCCCTCAGTTCCCCACCCCACCCAGGTTACCCGAATGTCTGTTAAAAGCTTCGCTTGTCCGCAGTGCGTGTGTAGACTACACTGAACCCAGTGGTGGTGGGGCGGGGGATTCCACTGGCAGAAATAAGCACTCTCATTGTGTGCGCATTTGATAAACACAAGCTGCTAACAGAGTCAGAAAATCTCCCTGCTAGTCAGAAGTGTCCTCTTGCCTTCTTTTGAAACGACTGTTGAAGAAAGCAGCTTATTTGGCAACAGAACAGCTCAGTACTCTAGCTCTCCAGACACATGAAGAAAAATCACAAGGCTACCATGAACTGCTCTACAGCTGCTAATTTCAGTTACCAAGAAGGGATTAACATAAACTGGATATACAACTAAACCACCGCCCAGTCACCAGGAATGGCAGAATACTCTCTAGAACTATCTATAAGAGCAGGAAGAGAAGTCAGAGCCTACTTTTTCCCTGAGGAGGCTGGTACTGGTGGGTCTTGCCCCTGTCAGGGGAGTAGCTACGGCTGCTGATGCTGGATCCAGAGCGGCTGTGAGGGGAAGGGGGGACATCCCGCCGGACAGGGGAGCGGTCCCGCACTGGTGGAAAGGGCGCTTTACGCCGTAGACCTTCCCTCTCCTCCCTGCAGAAGAGACACAGAGAGACAGACAGACAAAAATCTAAATACAGATGTTTAGGTCAGACAGGTGGGTTACTGGATAAAGATGACTGATTTATATGGAAAAAATTCTCACTGAATGCTGATATTTAGCAGGATTGAACTGCAACTAAAACAACAAATACAAAACTAACTGCCTACAGAAACGAATAGTTTATAAGTTAAATAGGTAAGTGGGAATACTAGATGCTTGAACTAAATTTTCTGGAAAAAAATAAAAAGATCTGATTTGATTTGATGATCTATTCCTTGTTAAGAGATTTAATAACCTTCTTATTGTCCCTGTTCACAACAGACATGATTCATCGTAAGTAACTTGAAAGGCAAAATTCGTTTTACCATCAGCTTCTTTCGAAGTGTAATGTCTTTCTTGTCTCAAAAACATTATCTGAGTTTTGATTACATCAAACCAATCATACCATGTCTCACCTGCCCCTTCCACTCCTGTATAACAGCAAGAGAAAGACAAGCAAAAATACATCACGGTACAGAAGAAAAATTAGTTAGGATTTCTGATACACAATGTCTTTAAAATTGCAGCCCAGTCCAGAAAGACATCAGCATTCAGTGAGCAGTTAAACTCAATATTTAAGAGGCAAATCAGAACTTGACATGGGCAACATCTTTAAACTTTTTCCACGGAAACCCAGGACTTTCCAGCCCTTGGCTGAGTTGGGGTGGAATAATCTAGAGGGCAAAGAATGCTGTATACATTACAGTCTCTTTTACACAGTGCAAACAGTGTCCTTGAACCCTGCGTACTTATCCATTCTACACCATTACCGACTAAGACTTCATTCACACACAGTGTGTGTCCCAAAATGTGGTCTTTGGCAATATCATGGGATAAAAAGGGTATTTATAATGTGACCCTATGTTTAATCGAAGAAAAGCAAACTTGTAAATTTTATATGGAGATAAACTAAATACTTGAATAATACAGCACTGATCACATTATAGTTTTGCTTAGATGCCTAACATTTTATAATACTCTGTTCTGGACCATTAAAAAAATCCTACAAACAATATATTTAAGTGGATAACATACGTCTGACATGGGTTATCTACATACCCACGGTCCAGGTTCATAATGGCCTGTATTAGTGTGTCGTCTCCTGGGTCAGGGCCCAGAGCTGACAGGGATCTGGGAGCAGGGTAAGAGCCCTGTACTCGAGTGCTGGGAGGAGGACCCACTCGACTACTGCCTCTGTAAGAGAGAGGAGAAAAGCAAATGCTTAAAAATCATGGGTAAAATAAACACTGTAAGCTCAAGGTTTGACCAAAGAAAATCACATTTACACAATTTTCCTCTTACTCCCAATGTAGCCAATCAACCAACATACTTTTGTCCATTTGTATAGATAACAGCAAATCATACAGTCTCAGAAGTCACATAAGCAAGTCTACTTGAGATTACTTAAATACATGTACAAAGCCTCCATTACCTGTTAGCTACATTAGCCTCGCAGCTCCAGTACAGAACTGAAGAAACAAACTTCTAAGACCAAACAAGTCTTGGCTGATTACATTTGTATAGTGGAAAATTTGCTTTAACTTGTTTTCTGGACAAACCCTCACTTTAAGGGACATACAAGTAGGTTCATAAATGTTTGGACGCTGACAAAGTTGCATAAATGCTGCACCTTGAGCTCAATTTTAATTTAATTTCAACTCCAATAGCCAAAATAATTACATTTATAAAGGTTTAAATGAACAGTTTGGCAAAAAAATCAAGTTTACATAAACTTCCACCTACCCCAGATGTATTTGGCGTCCAAATGCGGCTTTTTTAGTTTAGAACTAGAGTGGCAAGGCTAAAATTGCTAACACTACAATGCAAATAGTCTAAATCATAACTTATAACTCTTAACCCTTAAGAAAATACATCACCAAAATGTCTTTAAAGAAGCTCAATCATCCAGGTATTCATTAAGGTTGCACAGACTCGACGATGGGATTTAGGGCACAGTATAACTGACTATGAGCAATAAAAATGAATGCAAATTCACTGCACAATATGAGCAGTGTGGACAACAACCTCAGACAACAAGGCCTCAACAAGGAATCCTTTTGTGACAAACTGCAACAATATAAATTCAGGGGAACCTGATCCAAGATTGATCCTGCTTCGTGAATACTGGCACTGGTGTCGTCTGAAATGGTGTTAACTTTTATAGCACAGAGTGAATCAAACTGTGTTCTAAACCACACTGACCAGTCTGTGCGACCTTAATGAAGACCTAGACACTATTTTTATATATACATACTTCGTATGTTTGTGTTCTAGTGTTTGTTAGCAATGTTATCTTTGTAGCCCCATTTCTAAACTAAAGAAGCAAAATTTGAACACCAAACTTGGCTGATCGACAACATCTGGGTAAGTGGAAAATAGGTTACATTAGATTTTTTCACCAAAATATTCCTTTAATCATTTCAGCAGAACTACTATCAGTAGTTATACATGCAAGATAGAATGAATTACCATCACAATTTAACCACTCAATAACAGATACCATATGCATTGCAGACTTTTTGTACTCAGTTATGGGTAAAAAAATCAAGGAATGAAACCAGCAGCACATTAAACTGTCCTGTTACGGAGTTCTTTCAGGATGTCCTACCAAGCTAGAGGAGAGAAATAACAGACTGGCCTCTTGTCCTGTATTTCTCACAGGTTAAGAGGGGGCTAAACGGGCCCCTTCAATAGTCTCCTTCACATAGCTTGTTTAGAGACCTCATGCCCCTTTCCTTTAGGGGTCAATGGTACAGGCTCTGTTTACGGGCTATTAGATAGGACGAAGGGAAGGCCACGTGTGTCTTCTACCTCCCAGCAGGGAGATGGTTTGATGGATTCTCTTCTAGTCTGACACAGGGAACACACCAGAAGTTGCAACAAATCTTCAAAAGGAAATGTAAGCACGGAGCAAGAGAGCTGTTCAAGCTCTGCCCATAAAGAGAAACCTTCAGGTTTACTTTCACACCTCCCTTTCACACCTCGCTCCTGTGGAAAAGGCCATAACTGTTCTCTCACGAGCTTTACTCCACTCACTCTTTTAACAGACAATGTGTAAAACACAAATATGCATAGAAATAATACAAGCTATAATTCTGAGACACTGTGGTAACAGCACATACTCGAAAAACACCTTTCTGAGAATGTGTGAACCTGTGTTCATTTGAAACTATGAGCTTCCAAACAAAAGAATTTCTAATGTTTATAAGATCAGTAAGTCAACCAGCTTAAAGGGCTCATACCATGGAAACGAAAACTGTTTTTGTGATGTCGCAAAACATACATATATTCATCTTTTCAGCCTACAGCAGTTTAATTGCACTCATTCACACTCAAGCTTTAAGCAGTGTTTCAGCTGTGAGTGCTTTCTGAATGATCCAGCCAATCAGAACAGAGCTCATTTACATAAAACAGTCTTAAAGGTACATCAGCAAAACAGCCTGTTGAGTGCTAAGGGGTAAAGAGAAAAATGGTCATATAAAAATGAGTTATGACTGTTTTTGGTACATAAAACCACACAAATGTTGGGGACCTCAGGAAAAAAAAAAGATAGGTTAAGCTAGATGTGGCTACCCTTACCATGTGACCTACTTAGTATATACTATTAGTATTATATTTAACATTATCCCAGCATTTTCTGCTGGTATCGGTCCGAGACTGCTGCAGGGTATCAGGATCAACGTCATCTCTAGTGACCACTGCCTTATAATGAGAATGCTAATGGAAAGGATTTTTCATCCCCCCACACTGCGGGAGCAACCCACCTCATTTAAGACTTAGCGTGTTTGTGTTAGTCACGCCAGAGGCTACACATCCTGCCTGTAAACTCCAGTTTGGTTTAAGCCACACAAAGAGCCATGGCCTCGTAAAAACAGCGCTGAGGAGCTAGCCTGCGTCCATGTCGTTCATTAACACACATCTGCACAAGGCGCAATAAAGGCCATAGTTTACACTGCCCTCAGCCTGCTTTCCCTGTTTGCTCCCTCCGGTTGCGCCGCTTATACGACTCACCGTACAGGTCCGGGGTGCAGGGGTGGGGAACGGCCAGGAACGAATTAAAGGCACCTGGTCTGGATGACCTCAGCACGAACTCTTAGCCATCTCTTGCACGCGCACACACAAATGACAAAAAAGGCCACTCATAGTGACCTCACAAAACTTTAATGACCCTGATTTTTGTTTGAAGTGTACATGACCCCGTCTGCCCCAGACCGACAGAGCAAATTACCACATGTCTGTCTTTACTACCAATATTATGCCTGAGGAAAAAAGGCTTTCAAAAAAACTTCACTTCTAAAACTCCAGTGAGTAACCAAAAGGTAATAATCACTGACCAATATATGAGACAGTGTTGAAGGTTTATAGTACGAGTTACACGCCTCCAATAGTGTCCAAACATACAGGCTTAAACTAAGTACTACCTTTAACCAGTTTTATAAGAATGAAAAGCACAGATTTTTATGCAGGCTGCCCACAGCAAAGTTAGCCTACAGCATGACTAAAATGATTAACAGACCGTGTGCATAAGTACAATAATTCCCAAGTCTACAGCTTCATCTGATGACTCCAGTGCCACCATGTGGCACAATGTGGTTATTCATTATTACTGCTTGGTTACTGCAAGCATGTGCAACACTCAACAGAACAACTGACTAATGGCTTCATTTTTCATCTGTTCACATCTGTGAGACAAAACAATGTTTTTCTTCTCTCAAAGGGCCTTTTCTGATCTGCTGCTAATCCTGACAACCGGGGAATCTCTACTGCAAGCTCTTTATTCCCTCCATGTTTTTCCAAGAATTGTTTAGTACTGTTAAGCATGGCATTTTACTGCAAATTTCAGTGCACAATTTCTATTTATTAGCTGAGGATAATATAATCATAAAAAAATCAAATGTAAAATACGAAATGTGCCATAACTTTAGCACAAGCCACGTTTTATGTTATTTTTCCAAATAATTTAAAGCAAATGTGCTTTAAAGTGCAGTAGTATGCTCTCTGTAGAGGATGTGTTATTTTATTTCTGGTAAATATTACAGTAAGAAAGAGTAGCTAGTTAGAAATTATACCAAAATTGCAATTACTTTATATTAAACGGTGAAACTTTGCACACATTTATACTGCAAATCATAATTTTTTTTGCAAAAGAGTTTAACAGAATAGAAAAAGTAGCAGTTTTGTTGCAAAACAGTTGTTAGCTGTGTTTGTTATCCTGTAGTAAGAGTTGTAGACAGCTGTCTTAAGTGAAGTGACTATAAAAAAAGCTTGTTTCAATAGAGACACTGATATGTGAACTGTGAGATGATGCCGGTACATGAATAATTCTACCAAACTGGTTCAAAGTCAGAGTGGAAACCACATTTTGGACTTTTAACGGACTTGGACTTCAGAATTATTTTGCCTAGAATGACCCTATACGACTTGGATGACCTCATACGACCCTAAGCGACCTAAGGTTTATTTTATCAAAACAACCAGTGACAGTTTTAGCTAATTTCGAGCAGAACTCAAAAATGCTATCTAGTACATGACTAGCAAACAGCTTTGAACAGTTAACTATACAATTTTTATTAAAACTGGGGATGTACTGATACCAATACCGGTATCGTCCCAATGCCACGTCATTTGCTTGTTCTCATACTCTTAAAAATGCACAGATACAAACATCCGATACCAGCTGATACCATGTGACAGAAGCCTGGTGTACGCTGCCTCGCTAATGGACAAACGACTCAAGCTGGCAGTGAGCAAGAATCTGCTTTAACAAGGATGTGTTTCTGAGCCATGGCAGTCGGACACAAAGTCGCAGGTCACTTTACACATTCCAGCTTTGGCATATTCCTGCCAGGCATACACTGTGTGACTTTTTTTAAGCACATACATACAAACATAATCACACTTAATCACTTCCTCAATACAGGTGAGACATGTAGACTAACAACACGGAGGCAAAACAGTCAACATTTGGTATGAAAGTCCGTATATGCTGACTTTACTCTGTTTGACTGAATAGAACTGCAAAGTGCTTTACAAACTTTAATATAGTGATTTTGGCTGTAGCACAGTTTTTCAGCGTGCTTGCTCAGTATGTGGGGGTGCAGCGTGTTATTTTGAATGAAACAGCTTTATTGATAGCCTGTAGACAGAGCTGTCAGTGGAGGCTGCGTTACACGTAGCATGTCAATCAGACTTTTTGTTTTAGTACATTGTGAAAATATAAATCGTAGGCTTCGCCCATAAACGATGGTCCACTGAAACGTACATTGTGAGTCACTAAAGAACAAGCCGTCTAAAATCGCACAGTGCATGTCTGGCTTTAGAAGACATCGAACTTTGATTTGACTCAACCAGCCACACAAAAGACTTCAAACGTTAAAAAAAGTCAGCTCCTCGGATTAGCCTTGGATATGACGTCACTGAGCCACAGAGACTGTTCTTGAAAGAGGAAGATGAGGATCAAAACTATGAAGTATTCTTTACTTAGCGCTTTTCTGATGTGGAACAAATTCCACTCTTCTCCACTGCAATGCTACTCGATCCAAGGTAACTAATATAGCATAGCTAGCTAATGCACATCATTTCTAATTGTAAGTAGGTTACTTAGTATGGTATCGGAAGCGGTGTCAGCAAGTAAAATGAAAACGTGTTCAGTCTGAAAAAAAATTGGTATCTATGCATAATTAAAACAATAATTTACTTAACTGTAGAAAATATGGGTTTTGGTAGTGACAATTCTGAAGGTTACAGAATAATTTTAAAACTTTAGGACACATTTACTTCAGAACAATCTGATCTCACTGCTCACCAGTGTGGCCATGACGATGAGAAGATCACTGAAAAAAATACAAAAATTAAATATTATTTTTACATGGTGAAATTTAGGTGTTAGGGTTTGGGACAGACACCTCCCAACAGAAAGTACTCTATAAATGATGATTTTGTATGTATTTAACTTGGTACTATCTTAACTACGTCTTGGGTTTAAATAGATCTTGACATAATCCTTATAAATATCTACAGTCTGAATACTTAACAGTTTTTTTTAACTGTGAGACTGTAGTTTAAGTAGAAATTGGTACTAGATTTAACTAAATTAATATCACAGAGTCACCTAAATGTTCTGCTTTTTTGGAGTACAATAAATACATCAACAAATATTAGTTTGAAATATTGATCAAATCTAAACATCTGTCCAACACTAATATTTGTTAAAGCAAACATCTGCTGACACCAATATGATTGACATTATTATGCATTCCTGCATTTCAGTTTAGTAGTAAAACAATAAATAAATAACATGTCGGATCGGCATTAGCTGAATTTAAGGTTTTACTATTGGGGCCAGAAAAAACAAGTGGTATGGTGCTTGAGAATCATCATAGCACTAAAGGCTGTTAGGTTTCAACGCATGCTCCACATGAACACGTTTACTGTTGTATTTGCCTGATCTTAAGGGGCTGCAATGGCTCCATATCTGATTTCAGAGCTTTTATTTTTAACGCTTAATAAAATAATCACACATTACGCAGATCTAGTCAATCTAAGAAACAGTAGGTATGAGTAAAACTACTAAACACTGTAAAGGAACTGAAAGGACTCTCCTTTAAGGAGACATGACAGCAACGTTTCTCTCATAGGTGCAAATGGGCACAGGTTAAACCCCCTAAAGCAAAGCAAAGCTGAAGAGAGAAAAAAAAGAGTGAATTTAATTACAGGAGACAGAGAGGGGTAACCTGGGAGGAAAAGAGAGAGATAAAGAGAAAGCCAAAATGAATCTCCCTAAACTAACCCTTCAACCCAGCAACTCTCTCCCAAGTGCGTTCCCATGAAAGCAAAGCCAAAAAAACACAGCTCTGGTATTAGCTTGACTCATGCTTCCTGTTAGGTTAAGACGTGTGTGTTAACATTTCTCTCTTTTTATGACTGAGACATACACACACACACACACACACACACACACACACACCGTTATTTTTATGTAATGTCAGGACGTCTCATCTCATATGTGTAACTTATATGTAAATATCTATGAGTAATGATAGTATTGACAGTAATGAGTAATGACTAATGGTCTACATGTAATACATACATAAATACCTATATGCAACAACTATACCCCATGCATACACACACACACACACACACACACACACACACACACACACACACACACACACAGACACACACACACAGACACACACACAGACACACACTATATTGGTTAGCCAATTACGCAGATCTAGCCAAGTTTTCACTATAAAGTCAGGACATTTTTGTCCCTGTAAATACATATACATACATACATGCACACAGTTGTAGAAAACTTTTAATGGCCGCATTACATGTTTTGTCGATATTCTAAATGAAAAATTAACACATCCTCTACAGAGAACATATTTAAATATGTAAATTTCTATTTAATTGCTGATTTTATTATGTTGGAACAAATAAAACATAAAATATAAAATGTCCCATAGCTTTCCCACAGGCCAGATTTTTTACAGAGAGAAATAAAGAGTAGCTGTGCAATAAAATGTACAGACATTCGAAACTTATTTTCAATTAGAAAAACAACAAAATATGTCATTTAACCAGGGGTGCCCAAACTTTTGCATACAACTGTGTAAACACTTCTTTAAGCATTACAATGGATTTGCACTTCCAATGGCTGAAGCAGTGCTGCCATCTGCTGAGGAAAGTGCTTAAATGTCTTTAAAAAGCTCAGGGCACTGCACTGAACATCCTGAAATAAGCCAGACAAGCTAACATTTCCTCATAAAGTCCAATGTTTACATCTTTCTAAGCTCATTTTCTGCTTAGGTCCACATGCAGACATTTAGGCTTAATACTGACAGTAAAGACAGACACATTACTTTTCCCTTGGAAAGTTAAGCTCACATGACATATAGTACAGCATGTTAATACCTGAAATCCACTTGGCGTCCGGAATGAGGCTCCTCTCTGGGCCCTCTGTAATACGGGTAGTCATCCTGCTGGGACATACAAATACAGATTTATGTCATATTTACAAGGACATACACGAGTTAAATGCGTACATATCTAAGTGAGAGGCGTGTCGTGGTTACATATTTTCTGTGGTCATGTTTCTGCAATCACTTAAGGGTTCTTTTGTGAACTGGTTCAACCAGTACCTGTGTAATTTTCGCTAGTGATTTGATTGTTGGGGCCTCTGCACTTACCCTCCGACCAGGTGGGCCACCTCTAGGTTCATTACTGAATGAATGATGGCTGTCACCATGATAACCCCTCTGATCTTCACCATGGTAGTTTCGGGGAGCACCATTTGGGTAAAAGCGAGGGCCGTCAAAGCCTCGACCATAGTCGTCATCAGGACGTCCGAAACCGGGTCTTCTTTCCCCACCAACTCCTCTTTGATATGGGGCCTGAAAAAAGGAAAATTAAGAAGGCTAGAATCAAAAGGGGAATTCCACCAATATTTAAAAAACTCTGCATAATGAAAGAGTGGTTTGTTATCCAGAGTGGTTCGATGTAAAATAATTCCATTCTAGAGACATACCCTGCCTGTAAAAGTAACTCTAGAGGAAGCTCTTATATTAAAACTTTTACAAATCCGCTGCCTGACGCCTGAGACATTGATCTACGATAAAGCATCGACCTAAAACATATATTTTTTAAAATTCGTTAATGGCGGAGACACACATGCAGTAGTACCCAAAGAAAACTTTACAATTTAGAAGACTTATCACTGTTGTACAATTATCAACTGGTGATTTTGGATAGTAAATAAAATGGTTATATTTGTGTTGCAGACATTGTGACTCCTGGTTCCTATCACCATCACTGTAAAGTAGGGGTGCGGGAAAAAAACGGTTCTTAGATGCATCGCGATGCAGACGTGAACGATTCTGAATCGATTCATAAATGTCAAAAATCGATTTTCTAAATATTTTATTTATTCCGTAATGTTGACGGAACGAAAAATGCGCAACTTGGAAGTGGGTAAGTGCAGTGCCCGGAGAGTCTGCACCATTTAAGGTGGAACGGGAGAGTTAGAAAGAGAAGTGACTTCATCTTCGCAACTTTTTAGTGTTTGACAGTCTCTCGTTGCAGATTTAACGTTACAGGAAACTGCGCCACTTATAAATGCAAAAAGTCCACTCGTCTCCAAATGTTTGTCTTAGCTAAATCTCTCTCTTTGCCTTTTCGTTCGCTACTAGCGAGGCAAGACTTCGCTGCTATGTGATCTGCAGTCTGCACGCCGTTTCTCAGTCGTGGAGAACCAGGGCTTTCGCGCTATGCTGCACACTTTGGAGCCGAGATTCAGCGTCCAGTCTTGAAAATATTTTACTGACACAGTGACCCCCCCTCTCTACAACGAGACCAAAACCGAAGTTATAAAATCACTGAATTAAACGGGTAGGGCGGCTGTATCGTGCTACGTGGACATCCATTACCAATGGATCTTATTTCACCCTAACAGCGCATTTTATCGCAGATGAGTGGCAGCAGCGTCTCAAACAAGAGCAGCGAATGAGTCTTCTAGATCACTTCCATTTGATTTATTAATAAAAGATATTGGAAGTAAATGCACTATGGATCATTACAAATACTTTGCTTTAAAACTACCAAGTCCTCAGACAGTAAGAAAATAGAAATCCTGTATAGAAAAAAAAAAAGATGCATCGATAATCGTTTTATAATCGCATCGCAGCCCTCTGAATCGTAATTGAATCGAATCGTGAGGTGCCTAAAGATTCCCACCCGTACTGTAAAGAGATCAGTACACTACACTCTATCATGAATTATTTCACATCAAACCACCCTGAATGACTGTTTACATCTCAACAACTGAACTATTCAAACTGTTTTAAATATCTGTGGAATTTCCTTTCAAAGCCTGTAGTCCTTTAAGTCAAAAAGAGATGCATGCAAAGACACCTGCACGCATGAAGACTTCAGAGAAATACAACCCCATTCCCAAAAAAGCTGGGATGCTGTGCAAAATGTAAATAAAAACAAAATGCAATGATGTGCAAATCATTTAAACCCTATATTTCATAGAAAATAGTACAAAGACAACATATCAAACAAAAGGCTGGTAAAGTTATGGAATGCTTAAAATACACCTGGTGGTTGATTGACAACAGGTCAGTAACATGACTGGGTATAAAAAACCATCCCAGAGAGGCTGAGTCTTTCAGAACTAAAGATGAGGAGGAGTTCACCACCCTGTGAAAGACTGCACGATCAAATAGTGCAACAATTCAAGAATAACGTTTCTCAACATTAAATAGCAAAGAATTTTGCTTTTCATCATCTACGGTACATAATAACATTAAAAGATTCAGAGAATCTGGAGAAGGCCAAAAACCAGTATTTGCTGGCCGTGATCATTGGGTCCTCAGGCAGCACTGCATTAAAAACAGACATGAGTCTGTAGTGGAAATCACTGCATGGTCTCAGAAAAACTTCTCAAAACCACTGTCTGTGAAAGCAGTTCATCACTGCATCCACAAATGCAAGTTAAAACTCTAAAACGCAAAGAAGAAACTGTATATAAACAGGATCCAGGAACGCTGTCGCCTTCCCTGGGCCTGAGCTCAAGTTGGTGAAGTGAAAAGTGCCCTGTGGGCCAACAAATCAAAATTTGAAATTCTTTTTGGAAATCATGGACACTGTGTCCTCCGGGCTAAAGTCCACTCAGCTTGTTATCAGTGCACAGTTCAAAAGCCAGTACTGATGATGGTATAGAGGGGCATTAGTGCCCATGGTATGGGTGACTGACACATCTGTTACATTATTTGCATATCATTGCATTCTATTTTTATTTACATTCTGCACAGCATCCCAACTGGAAATGGGGTTGTACATAAGCATGAGCTGGAAGCAGCATAAAAGTTCTTACAGCTCTTTCTGGATGGAAACGCTCCTCATACATCTCTCGGATGTTCCTATCTCTCCTGAACGCCACTAGAAGAAGGAAAAATAAACAAATAAAAAAACAACATGAGGAGTGCTGCAGTATCTCCCTGCTAAATGTTTTCACACTCACAACAAGAAAATTCATGTCAGAATGTTGCTTTTATGGTTAGACAGCAGGAAATAACAATTCTCTCAGAAAGGAATCATTGGAAAGATACAGGAATGCTGAATGCACTCAGGAAAGTGATTACAAAACATTAAAATGTAATGCAATTCAGGTTAAGACTACATAGAATTAAGTAGAATTAAATAAAAAATATTCCACCTACTTGCTTTTCTTAGGAAATGATCTTCAGCTCTATGACGCTGGCTACCTGAAAAAGAACGGCACAAAGATTTAACACCAGAAATCTTCAATTACTGAGGTTGAAGTGTCTCTATTACAGATGGAGATACATACCTTTTCTGAATTTTGAGACTTTGTCTTAGAGAAGATGGCTCAAAACAAACATCACTCCTACCTTATCCCCCAGCTTATCCCCCAAGTTCATCTCATGAATATACTGGGCTCTTCCTCTTGAGGATCCCAGTACTGATTTTTCACAACTTCTGCACAGTTCTATCTTTGGATGTAAACAGAGTCATTCAGTGTGGTTTGATGTGAAATGGTTCATTGTAGAGAAACTTACTAACTCAGATTTCCTTACAGCGGTGGTGAAAGGAACCAGTAGTCACAAAATCTACAACACAAATATAGCCATTTCATTTAACATCCAAAACAACCAGTGAACCAACACGTGTCTTCTGAGTTTTTATATAATGTTATATAATTGTAAAGTACTGGTGAATCAGGAAAAAAATGCATTTTTTGGATTATTTTGCCTCGGAGCACCCTGTATGTACTTCTTCACCTAGAATGCATTCAAAAAATATGTTTAAGGTCAAAATTTTCTCTCCAAACTATTGCAAAACTATGTTTCAGACTTAAGGCAGCATATTTTTAATTATTTCATGCAATAACCTCCTGTGAGGGAGCTTTTAGAGGCATTGTACGCTTCAGATGTCTGGTTCCTATCACGACCACATTGAACAATTCTGACTTGGTAAGTTTCTCTAGAACAGAGCATTTTACATCAAACCACTCTGAATGACTTTAACATCTTGACTGTTTAATTATGCAGAGATTTTGAAGTGGAAATCCACAACGCTAGAAATAAAGATTACAAAACTAACCACAAATGTAAGGTGATGTAGTAAAACCCCTAAAAAGGAAACAAAGTCAATCAGAGTGGTCTGATGTAAAATGCTTTGTTCTAGAGCAACATGAATTGTTCACAGTGGTGGTGATAGGAGCCAGACATCCACCTTTAAAAGCTCCCTTGCAGAAAGTGCATTGAAAGTTACATGAAAAGGTTACATATACACTGCGTTATACCTGAAACAAAATTTTTGATTCTATTAAGAGAAGGTTTTGGCCTAAAATATATTTTTAAGAGCCATTTATTGCAGAGAAGTACATGCTGTGCATTTAAGGCAAAAATACTCCCAAAAGAAAACATACTGTTTTAGTTTTACCACAATTTTACCTTTACAAAGAAAAACTCAGAAGACAGGTGTACATTCACTGGTGGTTATCGAAATTGTGACCCTTGGTTCCCATCACCACCACTGTAAAGAAATCTGAGTCTGTAAGTTTCTCTACAATAAACCATTTCACACCAAACCTGAATGACTGTTTACATCTCAAGCACAGAATTTGGTAATGCTGAACTATTGCTGTGTAAGGAAACACAGCTTTTCAGGAAGTTCAAAAGTGTGAGTCAATTTTTTTTTTAAATTTGTGCAGAGTCATCAGCACCATATGGCATCAGTTCTTATTTTCTTTTTTTCTCCTTTAGCTGTTGTAGAAAATGAAACCGTTTATCGCTACCAGCATTTAAACGTCTCTCTGTATTGATGAACACAAGAACAAAACCCAAGACCCTCTCTTTGATAGGGCCATGGTCGATATTAGGCACCATGCATACTGTTAAAAGCTAAAGTGTATTTATTAAATAAACACCGAATAGTTTTTTTCAGGATGAAACATTAAGACACAGTGTGCACCTTAGTCTCTGGTACAGCAGGGTCTGTGTAATTCTGTTTCATTTAGATTAGTGCTGATAGTGAGTGCACCATATATTTAACAGTTTAGTTCAGCTGTTCAACTGTGTTGACTTTACTGTTGTTTAGTACAACGGAGTTCAATACCTAGTTAGAAGTGGTTGATATTGCAAAAATATAACATAACAATACTTCGAGAAATTTTCACGAAACACTATATGTTTATTTTTCCAGACATCTGATCAGTTGGTTCAGAGAAAAAAGAACCAGTAACCTGTTTGGGCTACATTTTAACAAATACTATCAAAAACTGTGAAGGCAGTGTTTTCATTCAGTGTTTGGTATAGTGTTGCACTGAATCCAGGTAATGTGGACTAATTTTGCTCTCTTTATAATGAAACATGCAGTTAGCCAGTGTTTTACAAGCACTGATGATATATAGGTTAGTTACCATATGTACAGACATACTGCATTGTGAAACAACGTTTCACGGTAACGATAGGTTATATACTGTCATACCTCACACGTAGGTTCACAGGTGCGGAGTCCGTCAGCGTTGAGCCTTTACGTGCTCGGCCGCAGCAGGCGGCATGCCGCTCTTTCTCTCGCTCGCTGTGTCTGTCTGTCTCTCTCTCTCTCTCGCTGTGTCTGTCTCTCTCTCTCTCTCTCTCTCTCTCTCTCTCGCTGTGTCTGTCTCTGTCTCTCTCTCTCTCAGTCTGCTGCAGTAACACAGAGTGGCTGAAGCTACACAGCAGCAGCGGACCGCTGTTACCCAGGCAGCGAAAATAAACTATTTACAACGTCCAGTTTACAGCCACGGACAGATTCCAGATCGTGCATGAATAATTCTGCCCTTCACAGCGCTGTGAACTGTGCTCAGCTACAAAAGAACTAAAGGGAAAATATTCGTTTTGGCTAAAGCAGTTTACAAACACCACTGTGGCCACGAACGGAAAAAAGGCTCAGTCTACAACCAGCATTTCCAGTTCAAGTCACTATCAAAATAAGAGTCTCAGTCTCTCGTGTTACACACACTCGCGTACGGGGTGCGTCTTTCAAAAAAATCCTACCTTTCGAGAAGAAAGTAGATGCTGACTTCACCACCATGTTCAGTGGCTGATACCTTATATATTGTAAAATTTGTAAACTATATTTTTGTTTATATGTTTGAGAAATGGCTCAGTGTACCCCCTTTATTTGTTATTTTGTGTTTCTTTCTTCTCGAGTATGTTAATAAATAAAATAGTCTCAAGTGGGTCCCTGAACCTTATACAGTGCACTAACGTTACACCGGCCTTGAACTAATGGCTTCTACATCCAAATACTGCTATAAGAAATAACATAAAAACCAGTACTTTGGGTCCCTGCATTTAACAAACACTCACACGTAGTAAAACCTTTAGTGTCCTTTATAAGTTGCATTTGTGGTGATACAGTGTGAGGTTACCGTTGTAGTATCCAGAGTTCCATGTGTTTTCTGACTTTGCAGGTTTGGAATGTTTAAGTTAGGGGACCCCTGGTCCAAAGGCCCAAGGGTCAAGGTCCAATAGGGAATGGGCCCTTCTCTCTTCCTCTCTTAGTTCCAGATGGATGAGACTATTTTAAGTAGGACCATATGTTCTGTTCCCTTTTTCAACAACTACCACCCTATATAAGCAGCTGGTTATATTGTTCTGGAGGGGACACTTCAGAATTGGCACGGATACTTTATAGTGCTTGATACGATACTGTTTTACTTTGTAATAAACATCTTATACAAGCAAGACGGTGTCAGCGGAGACTTCTTCATCATCTTCACATCATAGCTATTTAATAAACAACAAGAATTTGGCATCACGGATTTCGGACGTGTTGTGGCTTGCTGCGTCGCCGACAGCCTTAGCGCACTTACTCCCACACCAAGCCGGCAAATAAGGTGAGCATTTCTCGTATGACTGGGCGCTGGTTCGTTCGTTGGGGCTGTTGTGTGTGTGTGTGTGTGTGTGTGTGTCGCTTGTCTTGGCTGTGTTCCAGCTGAGTCAATGGCTGCAAGTATGAATTAAACATGTTAAAACATATGAGCCTCTTGAGAGGATGTTTTTTTTATTTTATTAAATTAAATTTATGAGCCTTTTCTTTGGGGGACATTTTCAGATCTGTTAAAACCTATGACTTTATGAATTTACATAAAACATATGAGCCTCTTTCAGGTGATAAGATTTATGACCTATGACCTTTCGAGGGGGCTTTTTGAATTGGTTAAATTGTATGAGCCCCCAAGAAGGACGTTCATGATTTTGAAGAGAAGTGGAGAGAGCAGTGAGGATATTTGCATGGGTAAAGAAAAATTTATTTAATAAGTATTTAAGGTGTTATTAGAGTGAAACAAACTGAAATTTCTTTATTGATGATAACTTGGTGTTTAAAGGAGGAAAACATTTGCTGTAGATAAAAATGACTTAAGTGTTGGCAGATAACGTGCGCAAATCATATTGAATTGCTTATTGTGTTGTTAAAAATACCTAGTGGGTTCATTTGATACTTAGTTCTGATCTGTTTCTTCCTTTATCCACCTATGGTGTGGAAGAACCGAGGGTTTAAGAAAACGGATGGTTCTCCAATACAGCACCAGGCTCAGATAATGAAATTGTTGCATGCTATGATGAAGCCTAAAGAAATAGCGATAGCTAAATGCGCAGCACATAAAATGGATGTGTCGAAGGTCACACAAGGGAATAAAGCGGCTGATGAAGCTGCAAAAGCAGTTACAGGAGCAGATAAATTGGGCAACGTATTTCTGCTATAAGAAATAACATAAAAATCAGTACTTTGGGCCCCTTTATTTAACAAACACTCACACGTAGTAAAACCTTTAGTGTCCATTTGTGGTGATACAGTGTGAGGTTACCGTCACAACTAAGGTTAACTCACTCAAACTATATGCATTATATATATGAATACATAACAATGGACAGTAGTAAGTAAATTACTGTTAGTGTCAGTTTAAAGATGTTATTTTTTTTATTACTTACACAGTAAAACGTTCTGTGTCTGTTTCGGGCTTTTATTTTGAATGTGCCCTTTCCGGTGCTGCTGTGGAGAGGATGCTAACGCTGTGGCTCCAGTAGCTGTGGTATATGTGTTCATGTGAATGATGTGCCTGTTTTCACTGGGATGCTCGTTATCTTCATATAGCTACACACACTTTGACCTAACGCTGTAGCTGTTTGTTCGGTAAGAGGAAATGCTTTTCTGTGCTGAATTCTTGTGTGTTTGTATGAACTCGGGCAGTAGCCGAATGCTAGTAGTTGTCAGGTTGTAACAGTAAGACAGAGAAAGTTCGCGTTATTTGAAGCAGGTAAATCTACATTCCGCACATAACGGTGTATATTTAGATTCGGTTAGCTGGCAGAAGTCGAATCTTATTAGCTACGCATGCGTTTCTTCCCAGCCTGCATAAATACATCTCAAATTAATAAAATCACTTGAAATCAGAGACTGAAGTTTAGGAATCAAGTTACACGAAACCGAATAACGTTACTTCTGCACAGGTATGTTAACGAGCTGTACTGCTTGCCAAGCATAAACTCTTGTAGTGCTTGGAGATACTGACACAATTCAACATCACAATAGTTTTTAAACATAGGACTGTATCAGATGGTACTTAAGTTTTGCATTACTAAAGTCCCTGACCCCATGCGTCCTGAGTGCTGGTAGGCTACACGTTTAACTTCTTTTCTCTTAAGTCTTTTCCTAAAATAAAAAGTACTTACATAACCTCACACTTCAAAAAGATGGCTCGTCAATGGTTCTTTAGTAAAGGCAAAAGTTCTAGTTAGAGAGTTCCACATAGAACCATTTCATGCTTAAATGTTTTTTTGTTTTTTTTTTTGCATTGTGAACCATATACAACACATTTGCCTTTATTAAAGAACGCTTGAAGAACCATCTTTTTAAACTGTGTAGCATCTAAATAGTCTTAGGAACCCAACAAATGACATACGCTGCAATTAACAGGTCCTGGACATCATGAGTAAAATCCACAAAATAGGATTAAACATGAAAATAAACTGCTTAGCAAGTGGTTGCCATATATGGGCATTAACATAGATGTAATGCTCATTATCTAATATATCACTAAAACTGAAAAGCACTATCAAGGAATGGCAATATCAGTGTACTAGTGTAGACAATATATTGCACAGAATTATGTTTAAGTAATTACATTTCAAAATTAATATATTTTTCTGAAGTTCATGTCCTTGGTCATATTAAACATTATTAATCACATCATCTTGTTTAAAAGACAAAATTCTCGTTTTTCTATAATATTCCATCAAAATGTAACAACACGTCTGATTTTTGATTACTTCACTGTGCACTATCAGGCGGGAAAAGCTAATGTAGCTATATCATATCCTGCTCCCACCACTCCCACCCTTATGCTGTGTTTTGCTCAGAAATAAGTCACTGTGTGAAAGGAAAGTGTTATGATTTCTGATTCACATTCACTTTTGTTGACTTTTTGTACCTTGTAACTCGGCAGTAGTCAAATGTCTAATCCGCTGTTGATCCAGTTCGAAAAGTTCTTACTTCTCTCTTCATCTTTTCCAGGTGCAACATGAGTGGCGGCTTAGCACCAAGCAAAAGCACCGTTTATGTTTGCAATCTTCCCTTTTCTTTGACCAATAATGACTTGCATAAGGTAGGTTATTGCACATTATGTTTGACTACCCTGCTGTTGTGACTGTTGGAGCATTTGAACTTCACAGATTTTGCAGTTTGGGATTCAGTGGTCTTTATTATCAATACTACCTGTTTTTATATATGTTGATGTATGACTGCTGTGATAAAAACATTCACTCAGTTCAAACAGTTTGGTTGGATCTGTTGGGCTGTTCTCTGTTGCTCTCTTGAGTAGCCTTCATAACCCAGCAGTCATTCAAGCAAGATAAAGGGCTTTCTGAATTACAGAGAGTTTTTTGTATCCGTGTTAAAATCTTGCTCTAATGTTGCAATTCATTCAGCTCTTTCGCTCACTATGATTTTCACAAGAAAAAGAATGTGAGTTTCTTGTCAGTACTCATCAAGTGAAGAGAGTGGATTATGCACAAATACAAGTGGGGATAAAAGTAAACATGCAACCTTGACTTTGGCTATATAATAAAATTTTTCACTCATTAATGTAACAAAGTAACAAAACAAAATGTAATTCGATACGATACAGTGTACAATATATTTTTTGGTACAGCAAAAATAAGGGCTGCCTGAGTGTGTGCCTTGTCTTCATAATGTAAATGTTAATATGTTAATCAGTGCACCACAGGTGTAACAATGCATATATTTCCAAGTTCAAAACAATTTTCTATTTGGTTTTTAATATTTTGTGTGTTAAATGTGTCCTGACTGTACAGACTTCTGTTTCTGAAAACATTGTTTTGGCTTTGATAAATAAAAGTTCTCAAACAGAAATGTTTCAGTGCCTACCATCAGCTTTTTAACAAATTAAGCCACAAAAATCACAACCACATGAATTTAGAATTGATTTATAAAAAGTAAATTGAGCACAAGTGCATGCATGACATATCGCTGTTGTCTGAAGAAAAACTTGTATCTCCAAAATGATAACTTTACAGGAGAAGGAAAAACCTACTTTACTTTTAATGTAAGTCAGTGGAACAGGAATTTTTTCAAAGTCATTTTGGATCTTTTGTTTTAGTCCATTCATCATGAAGTTTACACACAATGTAAAGACGAACAGGCATTTTCAAATTACTCAAAAACTGAAAAACGTCAAAAATGGAGATACGAGGTTTTCTTCCGACAGTGATATGCTCCTCCCCTTCCCGCCAACTTAACTCTGATAGGATGGATAGTTTGACAGTGGTTTCCACAAAAGAAAGTAAATGATGGACAGAGGGGCATAGTAGTGATACAGTTTTAAATTCTGAGACACTTTTTCAAATTAGATTTTTCGATATGTATTGTTACACCCGTAGAAGAGACTGGCTAAAAGCACAGCAGCATGGAGTTTGAAATTTTAATGTTTTGCATTGTTTTACCTGAAATCTTTTGAACTGTTCTTATTTCTCCGTCAAGGTGTGCACTAAATATGGAAAAGTTGTTAAGTAAGTCCACCATCTCAGATTATACTCTGCTCTAAATATTAAATGATAAAACAAGTAGTTATGTGTCATCACATGCAATTTCTTTGTGATGTTTCAAGGGTGACCGTTGTGAAGGATAAACAGACACGGATGAGCAAAGGCGTTGCGTTCGTGCTGTTTCTGGACAGAGAGTCTGCCCATAATTGTGCTCGATCACTAAACAACAAACAAGTATGTTCATAATCAATAAATCATTGCTTATCCATTTACTAATATCAATTTGCAAGTTGTTTTTGCTATAATGTACTATACTGTCTGTTTATTTTGCAGTTGTTCGGTAGGACAGTGAAGGCCAGCATTGCCATCGATAATGGAAGAGCTGCTGAGTTTATTCGGAGGAGAAACTACTCGGACAAGTCCAGGTGTTATGAGTGTGGTGTAAGTTATCAGGAGTTCTCTAGTAAATCAGAGTTCTGTCATATATAGAACTTATGCAGCCTTTTTATCATCTTTCCTGCCTATTTTAGATTTCAATATTCAAAATAAACTTGTTGACTGTGATCATTACAGTTCTTCAGTGTTTCATACACATCTACAATACAAAACAATTCAAAACAATAGTTATGGACTCACTCACTCATCATATAAGCCGCCCGTCCTCCTGGGTCACGGGTGCTGAAGCCTATCCTATATTAGGGTATAGATTGGAGTATAGAGTGTTTGTTTTTTAACCTAAAGCTCATTCTCATGTTTTTTTTTTTTACTTCACCAGATGTTTCCCTTGTGAACAAAGCCAAAGTTCACCACAAAATACTACTTTTGTACTGCTCATGGATTATATGTACAGTCGTATGCAAAAGTTTGGGCGCTCCTGCTTAAATTACGTTTAGTTGATTTTCTAAATGAAAATAAGTTAACATGTTCCCTACAGACAAGACACTTGTGCACATTTTAAGGCACGATTACTGTTTTATTTGCTGAATTTGATAAATTGATGGGGAAAAAAACAAAACATACAATGTGGTTTTTACAACAGTAATGGGACATTTTATATTCTATGTTTTATTTTTAACCAAAACTCAACAAATAAACAGTCATTAAAACAGATACTTGAAAAGGATGTGTTAACTTAGAAAATCTTAGGAAAAAAGTGTTTCACTGAGAAAATGAACAAAACATGTCACATGACCAGGGGTGCCAAAATGTTTGTATATGACTGTATGTTATTTCTATGTAAGATAAAGCACTTCTGGGCCTGGCTTCATAACGTTTCTCAGAATAGGAGTGCTGATCTAGAATCTGTTCCTGTCTGTAAGGTCATTGTAAATATGAGGGGGGGAAAGGCATTTCATCTTAGAGTAACACTCCTACTCTGAGAAGCTGTCCTAAACTAGAAAAAGAAAGGAGAGGTTTTACTTCATCAGGCAAAATGCATTTAGAACATCTTTTCATTCACTTTATCCGAAGTGTAGAATAAAGGGCATGCCTGCATCCTTTACTCTGACTATCTTTTTTTAATGCTTACAATTATTAAGAGTAAACATGTTAAATCAGATGGGTCCTGCTGTGTGCTGGTTCTGGCTGTACAGAGGCATGAGCCTAACAGATAAATTACGATTGAAAATGAGATATAATCACCTGTTAATGCTGTTACTCATCACAGGAGGATGGTCACTTAAGCTACTCATGCCCAAAGAATTTGCTTGGAGAAAGAGAACCTCCCCCAAAAAAGGAAAAGAAGAAGAAGAAAAAGATAAAGCACACTGAAGAAGTGTAAGTAGCCTTCAATACATTAGTAATTATTTGCATATTTCTTCTCTTTGTTTACATAAAATGTATTTTGTACATACATGTTTTTTTTTATTTTCCCCATCAGTGAGCCAGAAGAAAGTGAAGATAAGGGAGAAGACCCTGCACTTGACAGTTTAAGTCAGGCAATTGCTTTCCAGGTCAGTGAACAAGAAGTGTCAGAGTGCTCCTCTAATATTTTTGTAGTTACACAGTTTCCACAGGGTTTGGCTTGTGCTGCTATAAATTATCATTGATTTTTAAGGCCGATTCTGCTTTCTTTGCAGCCAAATTGGCTGCTGGCCGATTTTTGACAGATTTTTAATAGATTTTTGATAGAAGCTCACACTGCGTGGGCTAAATGAACACATGAAACACACTGGCACATTTCCAGTACATTTTATTAGCCAGACTTACAATTTGAACAACCTTATTTGCTCTTTAAAGCAGCACTATAAAAATTTCTTTTCTAAAAAGCAAAAGAAGTAGCATTACTGAGTCAGGAGAAAAAAAGCACACTAAAATATGGTGTACGTGCACTGCTGCAAGTCGCCTAGTAAAGCCTAAAATAATAATTTAAAAGTCAAAGACGTCATAGGGCCAGATTTGGCATGAGTTTGTCTGACCATGTCTTTGCGTATTAACATCATTCACACCAGGTCCATCTCAATGTTTAGATCTCAAATGTAAATCAGCATTATACAAACGATATAATGACAGTAGTAGATACTTCACTTACGATCTTAGAAAACAATATTAGCAATATTGAAAATAATAAAAAATAATAATTAATAATAAACAAATTACATTCATCCACTTGTGGAGGTCCAACCCAAAACTGATATGTGCAATTTCCACCAAAGAGGTCCCCAAATCATACATAGAGTAGCTTTAATGGGCCAAACTGGCATTTAATTTTTTGCAATATTTGATCGGCTGCCTATTTAAATAACATGAATGACAGTAAAGTGGTACATGAGTCGTGCATAATTATACTGTGATATTTTGGTAACAGTTTAGCAGCAGCATTCAAATACAGCCTTGAGTGCACTTACCTGCCTCATGTTATTTATCTCATGCAATTGCAACACAGATTAGCCAAAATAAAAACAATAAATTGGCTGATTACCGATTTTGTACAAAGATTTGCCGATTCCTGTTGTGCATCTCTAATTGATATAATTATTATTGTTTCTTTAGAGTGTATGTAGAATGTCATCTTGTAATCTGAACTTAACGTCAATGTGAATCGGATATCATAACACATTTTCCTTCCGTGCTGTTTTTCCAAGTGTTTCAGGGAGGGTCTCTGACCTCTGATATGTGGGGGTTGGAGTGGAAGTTGAAACACAAGATAGTGGTTAATATGACTATTCCCCACTCGTTGGTGCATGGGGACGTAGCCAAAAACCAGAAACTATTTTACATTTACATGGAGGATTATGGGAAAACAAGAATTTTGCCATTGAATGATATACAATGAATCATGCTTAATCTGACCAGAGACATGAAATATTCAGGTAAAAAAGGTCAATTTTAACTGCCAGTTGATTTTACACAAACTAAAAAGCCAAAACTAAAGATTTTCACTGGTAAATCACTGAGCATTGCAGTTTAGTTGAAGACTAGGCTTATCCATGACAAAGAAATATTTATTTATTAATTTTTTGGGGGTAGGGTGCTGTTGCTTTTAAGCATGTTCACAAGCAGATCTTCATTCATTTCTTTTTTTTAACAGCAAGCTCGAATCGAGGAGGAAGAGAGACAAAGGAAACAGGCCACTGCAGACTCGAGCCAGGCTTCCACGTCAGAGGACTCTCATAAACCCAGGATCAAAAAGAGCACCTACTTCAGCGATGAGGAGGAGCTCAGTGACTGACGAGTATTTTGATGTTCTTGAGATGCAGTGAGGTTATACATCAGACAAAACTTATAAGGAGCTTCCTCAAAGGCTTATCAAGGTGATGGAGGTGAAATATCATTACGTTATTTTGTCACTTGGTGCAGTTCAAAGCTGTAGTTCAGAACACCTCAGCTTGGTTCCAGTGGTTGCAGGTAATATGATATTTTCTCACTTCTAACTTATGTATCACATGTACATTTTTCTTCATTATTATTAATAGTAGTAGTAGGAATAATTAAGGGAAAGTATCTAATTGTGATTTTTCTGGTCATTGTTACAATTGCAATTTATTTAGAGATTATTAAAATAAGCTACAGGCCTGTTTTTTGGAAAGAAAAACAGCATATCCACTTTTTCTGCCTTAAGGCTTGCTAAACATAGAGCACAAGACTGTTAGTTATGAGTGTGTTATGTACACAGCATGTGGATATTTGGTTGCTGACTGATCTAACTCAACGTAGTGCAGTTCACAAACTCTGTGTTATTAGGTTAAATTTACCCACTTAAAATTGAAGACGTTGTTAATAATACAGGCTATAATTTTAGAATTGAAACTGCATGTCAAAATTGCACCCCTTCAATCCCAGTTCCCAAAAAGTTGGTACAAATGCAAATAAAAACAGAAGTAAGTGCTTTGAAAATCCCATTTGTCCTGTCCTGTCTTTTAAAAAAAATAGTACAAAGAGGAGATGTTTTATGTTTCATCTTACTAACTTAATTGTTTTTCGTAAAATATCCACTCTGAAATTGATCCTTGTAACACATTCCAAAAAGGTTGGGACAGGGGCAATTTAAGACCAGGAACATTGTAAAACGTTCCAAAAACATTTTAAAGGAGGCAATATAATGGCCTAATCCTTTATGAGCAAGGATGAGTCGCGGCTTGCCAAGAAATGCATCAGCAAATAGTCTGGCTGTTTAAAAAAAAAAATATTCTTCAATGATCTTTTGCAAATAATTTAGGTATTTCACCCTCTTTGGGGCATAATATCATCAAACGGCATGCTTCTGCAATGGATATCACCTCATGGGCTCAGGATTACTTTGACAAACTGTTGTCAAACACTGTTCGTCACTGCATCCACAAATGCCAGTTAAGACTGTACTGGGCACAGCAACAGCCATACGTCAACTATGTCCAGAAACTTCTCTGGGATCAAGCTCATCTGACAAGGACTGATGCACGGTGGAAATGTGTTTTGTGGTCTGACGAGTCAACCTTTCAGATTGTTTATGGAAATAATGGATATTGTGTCCTTTGGGCCAAAGAAGAAAATGACCATCCATACTGTTAATAGTGTAAAGTTCAAAAGCCAGAGTCTGTCATGGTATTAGGGGTATTTGTGCCCATGGCATGGGTAACGTGCACATCTGTGAAAGCAACGTTAATGCTAAAGGATATTGCCCATTTTTGGAACAACATAGGTTGACTTTTAGATTAGTCTTTTTCGGGGACAGAGAAAGTGCGGGTGCTAGACTGCCCTGCCTGTGTCCCATTGAAAATGTGTGGCATGTTATCAGAATCACAATCACTTAATTTCACCAGGTATGTTACACACACTGAACAGACCGGACAAGTGTACAGACTGTTAACAAGTATTTAACGAAGAGACAAATAAGATAAAAATAGAATTAAGAATAGAAATTAATAACAAAGAGGCAGTGTGAAAGGAGCTAAAGAGATGTGTGCATATCTCTACATATGCAGATACGAATATCTATTCACATGCAGGAGACATATAACTATTATATGCAGAATATTACATATTAATGATTATAAAGTGCAAAGGCCCAAAATGGTTGCACAGCTAAATACCTGTATAACTGAAGAATTGTAAAACAAATCCGCATTCAAAACTGGATCAATTGGAAAGAGTGAATATTTCCAAACTACAATGAAGTTCATAAATATTCATCAAATATTTTTGTACTGTTTTCAATTTAATACATATCAAACAGAATTTACTAATCACTGCTTTCTGTTTCTATAAAACATACAACATAGTCACCACCTTTGGGTTTGTAATAACTATTACTTGTTCAGCCCTACACCAAAGTGTTTTGACGAGGGTCAAACACGCATATAACAAGCCTGTCACAAAATCTTTCACATGTGGCAACCATACAACATTGTCAACTGCCTTGATGTGCTTGGAGGAGAATGTTAAACGTGTCATCTGACACACCCCTGGAAATCTGAAATGGTCACAAGTGAGATTTGTTCAAGGGACATTTTACCTAACTGTGTGTATTTGTGTTGTGCCCTCTTTAGTGGAAAGTCCTTTGCACATCATCATTCCATGGGATTAGTTAAGACTGCAAAACTGGTAGTCAGTGGCAGAATTGGAGTAAGTCTGATTTATAGGGCTGAGGCCACAGAAGACTCCAAAGAGCCTACTTCTGAACTGTGAGGTGGTGCAAGTTTAAGAACTGCATAATCTCTGAAAATAAAAATTGGGTTACAATATGTCTTCTTATTTGTCTTAACTCAAATTTCAGGTTACTGTGGCTTCAACCATGGGAAGATCGATTTTGTACAGGCTTCCCTTAATTCTTCTGTGGTTCCATGTAATTCCTGTCCAGTAAATACTTGCTTAGGGCAACTAGGGGCTCTCAAATAGCTCCATATTCCTTATATAGAACACTTTATACTGAATGGGAATTATATCTTCTACACCCATATGGTTAAAAAGGGGTCATTTGGGATTCAGCCCAGGTGGAATCAAGTTGCTGAGTGCAGAGGTGGGCAACATAACTAGTATTACTCGGTTGCGTGTCATACCGTTTTGATGGATTTGTACTCCAGTTTACTTTTATTTACTCAGTTCTGATTGAATCTTTCTCTTTTAGGTTGCTCATTTTTGTGTGCTTAAAGAGGAAATCCACCAACTTACAAAAAATCTGTATGTTCTAGAAATACTCTGTTCTAAAGAAACAGTCAGAATTGTTCACAGTGGTGGTGATAGGAACCAAAAGCACCCTCACAGAAAGTTACATTACATGAAATGGTTGTGAAAACACTGCCTTATGTCTGAGACAGTGCTTTATGGTAGTTCTGTGATAAAGATTTTGCTTAAAATGTATTTTAATCCATTCATGGCGGAGGGGTACATGCAGGGCGTTCTATGACAAAATAATCATGATAGAAAACTATTCATGCATATTTTACCATCATTAACATTACAAATAAAAACTCAGAAGACGTGTAGGTTCACTGGTGGTTTTGGATAGTAAATAAAATGGCTAGATTTGTGTTCGTGACCCCTGGTTCCTATCACCACCTCTGTAAAGAAACCAGAGTCTGTACGTTTCTCCAAAATTAAACATTTCACACCAAACCACTCTGAATGACTGTTTACGTCTCAATGACTGAATTCTGCCATTTTGGAGGTGAAATTCCCCTTTTTTCATTTATATTTCCTGTTGACAGCACCTGCACAGCTTTTCTGTTGCTCACACCTCTCACTTTCGAGTTTTATCGGGTCTCAAAAAGAGAAGAACAGAGCTTTCCTACGCCGACAGAAGCTGCTGTTCTACAGGGAACTGAGCACTTGAGGAGTTTTTGGACCTGGTACTTTTTAACTCCTACACAAGATTTTTTTTCTCTACTTTTAATTCTGCTCGAGTTATTTCAAAAGAAGCAACGAACCGATTCAGGGAGCGAGTTTAGTCTGGTCTGGTCTCAGTAGGTTTAGATTTAGGTTTGTTCTCAGACGCTGTTTTGGATTCGAACGCTTTCCTGAACCTAGCGACCCCGCTGGTCGCTGAAATCACCGCTGATTGGCTCTCCTCGGTCACGTGACCGCCGTCCTCGTAACTGGACTTTTCTCCGGCAGTGAGCTTCGGAGCTCCGCTGTCTCACAGAACAACAAACACAAACCGACCGAGCCGACAAACAGCGGACCAACGGACGAGAGTCTGACTAGCATGGGAGACAAGAGGAGCCCGACGAGGTAAATAAATAAATAAATAAAGACCACGCTCGCATGGCTATGGCCGCAGCTCACCTCACAGGAACCGCGCTGCTATGGTGAGGAGGAGGTGAGCTGCGGCCATGACGGCTCGCCGTTCACTCACAGAAACGAGAGCTCGTTAAAAAAAAACAGTCTCTTTTTTTCAGTTCAGACACGTGGTGTGTGTGTGTGTCTCTCTCTCTCTCCTCAGGCCGAAGCGGCAGTCCAAACCCTCATCCGACGACGCCTACTGGGACTGTAGTGTGTGCACGTTCAGGAACAGCGCCGAGGCGTTCAAATGCATGATGTGCGATGTCCGCAAGGGCACGTCGACGCGGTAAGTGATTGTTTAAGTCTAATTAGCCTCATTCGCTGCCTAAAACTGCGAGACGACAGACTTAACTGAAGCTTGGTGCAGTGCGAGTGTATGTTTTAAACGTAAGGGGCAGTAAACGCTTGTTCTCTGAGCGCGGAGCGACAGCACCACTGGCAGTTCTGCTGAAGAACATGAGCGCGCAGAGCCATCTATATTTAATAGCCGTAACCTCTGATGTGGCTGCTGCTGAGTGGCCTGATGAACGCTGGGCTGTGTAATGAAATTGCTTTAACAGTTTGCAAACACTGATGTAGCCGATCACATTTTCTTACTGAAGGTAGTGTCTGCCAGGAAATCCAGGACAATCTTAAGTGGTTCTTCTCTTTAGGTTAGGTTAGACATGAACTCTCCCCAGTTCTGTTAGATTGTGTGTATCTTCAATAAGGTGTTTAAAGACTTTTGGTCTGACTCTAGTTATGAAAGCGTAACTTATTATTAGGTCCCATTTACTGTCAGTATTAGCTGATCCATGATGAGAGTATCTGGCTATTTTGAATCAGCACCTGACTCTGACCTGCTGTCAGTAATATTTGCCTTAGCTGTAGAGAAATTGGCATGCTGTTTACCAGATTCAGGGCCTAACTTAGCCAGGGCCTTTGCTTTTCACTGCTCTGAAAACTGCTACTGACGTTGCATAGCAGACGAGCAGGTCCGTCCATTCCCATTTTCCTGTTTCTGAGTCTGTGTTGTTGTTTGTGTAGGGCAGTATGGCAGAGACAGAGTGGCTGTTATTCGGGTAAGCTTCAGTAGCAGCTGGCTCCCAGACATCCACAGCTCATTAGTATTCAACAGCTTAATCAGGCGCGGTGTCATCAGAGGCAGAAGCACCTCATCAGGACATTTAACCACTGACACGCACACAAACGCGGACATTCTCTCCCTCTCCCTCCGCCTCTGCCTCTTTTATGGTGCCCCTGAGATGGCCGTTGTTGATGGACTTTAATGATGATGTGCCCTTCTTTCTGTGACAGATACAGTCCATTAATTTATCAGATGCCGCACCACAGAAAGTGACTCCCTCACACAGAGTCTTCCAGAAGTGAAAGCTGCTTTATTTGTCTGTAGTCTTGACCTTATTCTCATCGGCCATGTTTCACTTCCACTTTAAGGTTTTGTCATCAGCTAATCCATTTTTTGTGTTTTCCATTGTCTGTTGGCTTTAATAACTGCCTTTGTCTCTTTTTCCGCTGGCCACGTCCTGCTGCAGAAATGGTGACGGGGTGCCGCTTTTGGTCACAGTTGTGTGCTGCCGTTAGCAGATGAAGATGAATGTTTTATGAGGCAGAGGTTTAACTGAGCCTGGCTGGCAGGTGTTGAAAAATAAAGTGATAATTGAAAGGACGTTTCGCGGGGCTGTTGGCCGGACACGTCAGTCAAGATGTTGGGCCTAAGAGGCAGCAGGACAGTCTGCGGGGGCTTTCCAACTGAGTGCAGTGATGATTTAGGCCATCTATGCGCAGCTTGCATTCATCAGGTCAGCACGAAATGTTTGGTAGCTTATGTACTTTGAGGCGTGCTCATTGAGTGCCTTTTCAACATTGGCTTTATTTGCCGTCGTTCTAAGAGTGGCATGTTTATCTAGTGTTGACAGACTGACAGGTCACTGATGAGGTACTGGTACCTCTTGCTGAGTGTTTGAGGCCAGTCCGCCTCTGCACCAGTCAGCGTTCCTGCTAATCTGAGTGCTCTGGCACTTTCTGCCCCCCAGCAAAAACACTCTGCTGAGCACATGATGCCAATCTGCTGCCACCAGTGTGGAAAAATATTCCCATGTACTTTGGAACAGGCTTAGTTCTTTACCCTACATGCAGGAAAGATTGTGTAGGATGTAGCAAGAAACAGTCACTTCAGTTATGGCCAAGTGGACATTTTTATGTATGTTTTTGTTGTCCTAACAAAATCAGACAGCTATAACGATCTTGTTTTCACAGTCTGTAGACAAATTCTTGAAACGATTTGTAATCATAACCAGTTATCTCTCCTGGAGAGATAATCACATGGATGCTTTGCCTTGATGATTCTAGAGTGAAAAGAGACCTGATCTGGTGCCAGACCCTGATTGTACATCATGATGTTAATGCTTTTAGCATGATTAAACTGGCATGCACTCGATAGAGTGTATCAGTATATTAAGGAGCAGTAAGATATATGTAAGTCACTATTAATCCTTTCTAACAGTGTGGGTGTGAAATTCTAAAGTGCCCTTCTGTGCTGAGCCAAAACTAATAGCGTGCAAAAGGTCTCTGCAAACAGCTCTATTCATGGAATCGGAAGACAGCACATTAGCTGCCTTATCCACTGAAATAATCTACCCTGAAAAAAGAGATAATACCACAGGCATGATACAGCTAGCCAGAGCATGACTAGTTCTGAGCTTGAATTTATGACAAATGCTGACCTAATTTTGACTAAGAGAGGCGAGGGGAATGAAGGAGAGTATGTGGGGGGGGCGATAGAAGGCTGTGAAAGAGAGAGAGCAGACAAGGGAAGGCAATGTAGACTGCAGGAGAACAGAAGAGAAGGAGGGAGAGGGCAGGAGAAAAGAAAAGGCAAGCAGAGGGGAAAGGAAAGGAGGTTAGGAAGCGAAAGTGTGGAGCGGCAGGAGGCTCAGGGCCATCTGTCAGACAGGGGGTTTGGCACTGGAGCGGAGGAGAGAGCAGCATGCTGATGGCATGCTCGCAAAGTGTAACACATTAATCATACTCTCAGTCTCCTGGCTTCACATTGCCTCACAGCACAGTCATCACGCCATCACACTAACACTTGACGTGATCACCGCTTAGCAGGGATAATAAAGGGTTTACCATGAGTGTATTTACAGTAGTGTGAATTAGAGCTGCACAAAACGCGTGTTAATCGTTATCGTGATAATGACTTCTGATGACTGATTTTGCAAAATGCTGCAATATGCAGATGTACCCACTGATTAGCCACTGTGTTTTTTTACTGCGTGCTGTTATCATCCTGACTAATTACACTTCCAGATAGGGGTGGGCGATATGTCAGTAGTGTAATATCACATTTTCACATTACACTATCTGCATCACAATATTTTGTTTTTCTGTTTATAGGTTTGTTTCTTTTTCAAAATTTTTGTTTGTCGGATGTTGGAACAGACAAAAAAGAACCAGTGATGCCCCGTTTAAAACCAATATACCGTCAAAAGTTATGAATGCAACATTTACAACATTTATTTATAATGATAAATATTGTCATATTGCTGGCCTCTATTACTAGATGACTGCCAGGCTGCCATTATGAATAAGAATTTGTTCTTAATGGCTTTTCTGGCTAAAGGTTCAGTTTTAAAAGTTGGGTGTTTTGGTGAATCAAGATATGCTTGTAACCGAACAGTGTTTTGGCCAAAGTGTCTTTCACATTATTAATTGACTGTTTTTTAATACATTGCAATGCATATCTCATAGTGTAATTGCAATATTAGTATGTTGATGTGTTCACCCTAATGTAAGTGTGTACTCAAAACTGGTGGAGTAATTTAAGTAGCGATGTATTGATTAGCTGTTTGCTGCCAGCAGAAGGAAGAGTGAGTGAGTGGTTATGTCCCACGTTACAGAGAAAGGGAGAGAGTTGGAGTGACTAACAGGCCTTAACATAAGTCAGTGGTGAGGTAATGTTTGTCTTCTTAGTTTACATGCTTTGTTGTTCAAGATCTTATTGCATCTTATATTTCAGAATGAGTTAATGTGTTGGTGTAAATGGATGCTAGAGCAGCTCTGATGTGGTGTCCTTTGTGGCTTCTCGGGTGAGAGCTGAGCTTCACATCAAAGTACAGATCTAATCGCTGCAGTGATGTCTGTGAATTTGTTGTGAAGACAGCTGTTTCTGTGCCTGTTAAAGTGGTTAAAAACAGGCCTGGATTTGGAAAGCTGGTCTTAGACCAATGCAAAACAGCACACTTCCTGGAATATGAACACAGTGTGTGGTCCACATTCTTCCATACTGACTTTAATCCCACAGATGATGGAACACTACGAAACTTCAGGGGTTTCATGCTAATATAACAAATGCTGTAGAAATAACTTTCAATTGCATCAGTTGTTAATTTGTGTTGTTTTGGTGGCAGCAGTACTTTGTTTTCACACACTGGATTGTGCAGCCACAAAGCCAGAGGTTGTAGAGCCAATAACCAGTAATAATATTGGGTTTCCGTGCAATTCCCAGTGCCAGTGTTTTCCCGCCTGTCTGCTGTAAGAGGGTTAAATGGTGAGCACGAATTAGCAGCCGCTCCTCGGTTCTGAAAGCGTTCTCACATTACAGTATGTGCATACTGGCTGGATTTCCCCACTGGCTTTGCACAAGCCTGTCTGAACTTGGTGTTTTTCTTGTTTTCAGGCTACACTCAGATGAGGTCAGCTTCTTTTGCATGTCTTGCATTTCTGGTTTTCTCGCTCAGTCTCTCATCTCACTCACTTTTTTTTTTCTTTTCCTGCAGGAAGCCTCGTCCTGTCTCCCAGCTGGTAGCACAGCAAGTAACGCAGCAGTTTGCTTCGCCCACTCATCCCAAGAAAGAGAAGAAAGAGAAGACGGATAAGGAGAAAAATGAGAAGGAACCCATGTTGAAAAGGAATAACCACAAGAAAATGAGGTGCATCCTTTTTTCCCCACCCATGTTTCTTGATTAGGGGACAAGTTTTCCCCTGCCATAGCCATAAAGTTACACAGTGTACAGTGCAGGGGTCTGTAAATCCAGACTTTGAATCCAGTTTCCGGTAGTTAATTTGATCTGAGCTGGACTTGAAAACCTCCACTTTAATGATTTCCCCACTTCAGTGTTGGTCATTTGATTAAAGCCTTGGCAGTTAGCTGGTAAGTGGAATAATGAGTGTGAGAACAGGGGAAACACTAAACTTCACAGTTTAGTGATTCTCAGGGATTAGAAAAATGGATTAAGGTGTATAATGTAATGCACATCAATTTCTTACATTACAGTAACTGTTTTTCAAGGATTCTTATTGAGCTTATAGCATCAGGACGAAGCCAGAGTAGCAGCAGCTAAGTAGATAGACAGTATGGATTGGCATTTCAGTCAAATTTGATATTTGAATTTGTAAGGCATTATTAGAAAAATATTTGATTAATGACAAAAAAATCTAGGACTTTTAAGGCTAGTAGGATGAAATTGCCACTCTGTATCTCTCTGTTATTGTACAGTATTAAAACCACAAGCAGACCACAAATCCCCAGTAGGTGACATGAATCTTAAAATTTACACTGAAAACGGTGTTTATCCAAAGTCTTTATGATAAACAGCTTTCACCTCAGCTAACGTTACTGGCCTGGCCAGGCTGCATTTCAACTCATACCTTTTAGCTGGAAAACCAGTTTCTGAAGGGTTAGTTAGCTGATGACTATTGATAAATTTATGCTGAAAATGTTGAAAAGTTTTAATCATTAAATCTACACGTGTAGAATGAAAAATGAACTGTAATTTGGTGTTTATCGCTCCTTTTCTGCATCGTTTCCTGTGTGCCCTAGCTGCGCTCTGTACTATCTGCTACCCAGCACCAGAGGGTCTCTGGCGCCATGATGCTTCTCGTCCGGTGTGTGGTAGCTGCAACACCTTTTCTCTGCCACCTTCTATGGACAGAACAGATAAGAAATTCTGAAAAAAATGTAAGATGTAGGCTCTACATTGCCCTCTGGTGGAGTGTACAGTACAGACAGCTGATGGTTCTGAACATGTAACGATAGAGATTCACAGAATTAGCTTAAAGATAGCTAATTTGCAAAATTTGATAAACTTGCATGACTTTCTAAACCATCCCTGATAGATAGCTAGGTTTGTTGTTGTCCTGGCATTTTTGTCTAATTTTTCAGCAACCTTACCTTCTTTATTGAATTTAAGCTACGTGGTCTGCCTTTGTGGTGTGCATACAACTGGATATAGTTTGGTTTCAGGTGAGTTGTGTTAGTGGTGTTTATGCTGCTTAGTCGGCTCAGTCTAGGCCAGCTCATGTGGTCGGAGTTTTTCCGGTTTTCTGGAATAAATGGGAGTACTACTCTGTTCTTGCTTCCCACAAGATAACTGTTATTTATTGTCTTCCTGGGGCTTTTGCCTTTTGTTACATTCAAAACCAGTTTCTCCATCCATAAAGACACGGTCCCATTGGATTGACGCTTTGTAATATTTTTCGCCAGGGTGGAGCAACAATCTGGCTGGTATGGGAGGTCTTGATGTATTGTTGTTTGTTGAAGAAATGTATAATTTGGCTTGCTATTTTTTATTCAGTTAGTTATTTAGTTGCAACTGGGAGCAGCAAGCAACATTATTTTGACTGAGGGGCGTTTTCTCCATTTATTTTTTAATTTTTTAAAGAAGATACAGTTTGAACACATGCTAACAGATGACACATTTGTGTACAAAACATTAAATATAAAATGTGCCTTTTGCACAGGCCACGTTGTATGTCTTTTTTCCAATATGTTACAGTGAAAAAATGAACCCCACAGAACATGTGATAAGTCTTTCCATGTCCCTGCTCCACAGGCCCAGGTTGAAAAACGTGGACAGGAGCAGTGCTCAGCACCTGGAGGTGACTGTGGGCGACCTGACAGTTATCATCACAGACTTTAAAGAGAAAACCAAGCCCTCGTCCAGCTCCTCTTCTAGCGCCACCTCAGCAGACCACCACAGCCAGAGCGGCTCCAGCTCCGACAACACAGAGAGGGGGTTCTCCCGCTCCTCGTCACCCCGGGGGGAGGCCTCTTCAGTTAATGGAGAGGCCCATTAAGAGCAGACCCTGTAGCAGACCCCTAACCCCCTCGCACCCGACTGTTCACTTTGCACCTCAACATGCACAGGAGTGTATGTGTGTGCACGCCAAGACTTACTGCAAGATACAGACCGACGCACCACCATCAAACAACCACCACCGCCACACCTACAGGATTAAAGCCCAGGAACTGCCAGGACTGAATGCTCCTGGTCTGTTACAACACAGTCCATATGTTACAACACCTACTAGGTCAGCTTCAATGAACTCTTGGCTACTTTTTACAGGACTTTGATGATGATGATGGTGAATTGCAACAAGTCCACACTTGACTGACGGTACAGCGCCAATATGACATGATAGTATTATGCATCAAACCAGTGTTACCTGTCAATTTGCATTTAAACACAGACATCCATCTACTTTTGTCTTATGTACTAATGTGGCATGGTTGGGTTACGTTTTTTTTGTTTTGTTTTCAGAAACCAGCGCGGGGGAGGAAGCGAAATGCCTTTCTGTAATTGTAACTAACTGTTGATAACTAACTGTGGTAGCAACAGGATTTTTTTTCTCACTTGTTTATTACACCTGCTGGCACTTGGTGTGGTTTTCATGTGGGGGAAAAAAAGTATTTTTGTTATTTGTTGTTTGTTTTTAATGTCTGATTTCGAGAGAATTGCAACAGCGTTTTAGTTCATCCTTACACCCACATGTACTGTAACGTGTTAGAACATTTTTGTTCTTCTCACGAGATGGTGAAACAAAACAAAAGAACATTTATTAGGAAAAATGGGAAATGTATTTGTAAAATGTTGACTTTGCTTATTCCCTCCTTTATAATGAGCAGTGGTATATAAATATATTGCAGTATAGGAATTATCTCTTAATAAAATGTAATATTTAGACTCCCTAATGTACGTGTTTCAGTTGATAGGGGTGTGCTGGGGGGTCACAACATGGAAGCCATGCATGGTTCTCATGTTTGCATGTATTTCTGGATGTTTTCGTGGGGTTCATTTTTCTCTCTAATTTGTTTCACTGCTCACCCTTTGAATAAATATAAAGAATGTTTTAAAATAATCATAAAAGCGGTAAGTAACTTAGGCCAAAAGAAAGGGGTATCCAATTTTGTCCTTTACTCCTCTGAATGGACAGGCTTGGCTTCGATAAAGGGAAATTTCACCCATTTTTTTTTTACATTCTGCGTAACTCTGTTGTAGACAGAGTCAGTGAGAGTGGTTTGATGTGAAGTGGTTCATTTTAGAGAATTGCACCAACCGATTTCTTTACAGTGGTGGAATCAGGGGTTGCGCTGTCTACAGCACAAATATAACAATTTTATTTACTGTCCAAAACCACCAGTGAACCTACACTCATGTGGGTGGAACACCGTCTTTTGAGGTTTAACGCATAATGTGGATGGTGGTTAACTCTAAAAAAAATTCTGTTTTCTTTGGGGACTATTTTGCCTTGAACCAACCTGTATGTACCTCTCCACGCGGAATGGATATAATAGATAACAATAGTTGTATCTCAAAAGGTTCCCTACTTTCTACATAGTGCACTATGTAAATCTTAATATAATGGCTGTTGCATCAAGACAGTGTACATATATATGCAACAAATAGCCATTTTGATTCAGCTATGTGCGCACAATTCCCTACTGGCATTGGAAGAATATGGAAGAACCCAAAATTTCAAATCTTGCCTAGCGCACTATACACTCTCAGAAATAAAGGTATTAAGCTGTCACCAGGACAGAACCCTCTTGTCACTGGGGTGATACCCTCAAGGGTACATCTCAGTACCCTTAGAACATAACTGTACCATAATCCACTGAAATGATATTTTCTAAATTGCATTTACTCCACACACCCCGTCTCGTCTCCAGGCTTTTTATTTTATTGGTCTGTTTTAAAACATTAGGTTATGAAAAGGTACAAATATGTTATTTCTCCACTAGGAAAAAATGAGGTACACATTTGGACCTTAAAACCACTGTTGTACTCTTGAGGGCACATTTACATTGTTTGTACCTTGATGAAAGAAAAATGTACCTGCACAGAACCTTTATTTCTAACAGCGTACAGGGAGTACAGAGCCGTTTGAGATTCAGAACACATCTGTCAAACTTAGAGGCATTAAAGGGGAAGTCTACTGACTTTTCAAAATTTCTGCATAATTAGATGGTGAAGATGTAAACAAAGTCATTCAGAGAGTTTTGATGTGAAATGCCCAGTTCTACAGAAATTTAAGTCAGAATTGTTCACACTGTTGGGGATAGGTGATTTATAGTGTTTATTGCTTCTAAAAGCTCCCTCACAAAACATTATTACACAAAATAGTTATGAATACAGTGCATGATACCTGAGATGTTTTATGGTAGGTTTGAGGTTATGATTTGGTCTTGAACATTTTTTTTAATTCATTCATGGCATGATAGGTACATGCAGGGTGTTCTAATGCAAAATATCTCAGATTTTTTTTCAGATTACTATTATTTTACTATTATTAACATGACATAAAATTTGTTGAAATTTAGAAAAAAAATCTGTGGAATTCCCCTTTAAGCACTTCAGATGTCTGAGTGCTATCACCACCACTGTGAACAATTCTCAGAGAATTTCTTTAGAACAGAGAATCGTATCAACCGCTATGAATCACTGCAGTGCGGAGAATTATATCTTAACCATTTAATCATGCAGAAACTTTGAAAAATTGGTGGAACTCCTTGTTAAGTCGTCTGCTTTGTGAAATACCCCTGGTGCATCTTCATGAGGCCTTTCAGTTAATCATGCAGGAGTGCTGTAGACTGACCTCTCTGTCCAGCAGCACTGCTGTGTCTAATCCACTCCCACCAGCACAGCACACACTAACACACCATGTCAGTGTCACTGCAGTGCTGAGAGTGATTCAGCACTCAAATAATACCTGCTCTGTGGTCTTGATCATTGAAGAACAGGGTAAAAGGGGGCTAACAAAGTATGCAGAGAAGATGGACTCCAGTCTGTAACTGTAGAACTACAAAGTGCACCTATATAGTAAGTGGAGCTGATAAAATGGACAAAGAGAGTACAAACAAGGATCATAATGTTATGGCTGATCAGAGTATCTGTGGACCAGCAGCCACAGTGGGGGACACCCCAAGTCTACTTGGGTCACAGGAGTGGGGGATGGTGCTGAAGTGAGGCGTGTAGCCGAGACTCTGCAGGGTGGAGTGTTAGCCACTTGGCGTGTGTTGTGTAGCCAAAGACGGACATGTAGTCTCTGCTGTGCAGGATTTTCAGGGTTTCAGGCTCGTGTGTGAGGAATAATGCGGAGATATGTGCGGGCTCTGGCCTTGTGCGCGGTGTTTGCCCTGCTCTCCGTCCTCTACGTGCTCAGTGAACTCCGTGCTAACAGAGCTGCAGCTCCTCCGCTGAGACTCTCCTCCTCACAGACCAACGGGCGAGATACGAAACAAACACACACTCACGCAGAGCCTCGCCGAGGTGTCAGGTAAGGTCATTTATCATCTGTGTGACCACAACTGCAGACCCACCGCTAAACCGGCGTTGTGTCTCTGTACTCGCAGTGCTCGGGAGCCGAGCTGAGAGTTGCTAACCCCGGCCCTGCAGTGAAAGCGCCTGAAAAGATGTGTGTTTTAATCGCGGCCTGCTGTGGTTCTGCTTTCATTTACTCTCTTAAAATGTCATGGTTTGAATAAGGCGAGGCTGCGACCGCATGTTGGCCATATTGTCTCTCACACAGGATGTGTTGAGGATTTTCTTCACCAGACTGTGAAACTTCTCTCTTCTGAGAGCAGCTTTGATGTGTGATCATGAGTCTGACTCCAGCACTGAGAGCGAAGATCTTACAAGAAGTTACGAGATAGCAAGTTCCTGCTCGGAGTAAAGTTAGGCTGACACTGACCTCCCTTACTCAACAATCACGGTTTCACATCCTTTTCCACATGTAGGCTTTTCACACGTTATCACGGTTTTTATTTTTTCATTTATTTGTGATTTTCGCACATCTTGATTCATTCATTTACACAACACGTGTAATTTCATGGTGTGATATGTTACATAGACCCACATTCACGTTGTCATGTAATCAATCACATTCACATCACGTGAACACATTTTCTCATTGCCACGTGATCACGTCATTCACATTGGCACATGATCACAATTTAGTCACATCCTCACATGTGATCACGTTCACACTGACACATTTATCAAATGTTAAGTTTGTCACTTGTGATCACATTATTACCAATGATGTGTGATCAGATTTCACATTGACACATGATCACATTCATGCTGGCATGTGATAAAATATTCAGATGGTCGTGTGATCACATCATTTACATTGGCACGTGCTCACAATTTAGTCACATTGTCACATGTGATCACATTCACATTGACATATTTATCACGTGTTCAGATTGTCATTTGTGGTCACATTATTACCATTGACACGTGATCATATTCACATTGACGCGTTATCGGATGTTAAGATTGTCACGTGATCACATTATTCACATTGACACATGATTACATTTCACATTGACACGTGGTCACATTTCACACTGGCACATGATCACATTCACGTTGGCATGTGATAAAATATTTAGATGGTCGTGTGATCACATCGTTCACGTTGTCATGTGTGATCACATCGTTCACATTGTCACATGATCACATTCACATGATGTCAGATTTTGACTTATGAATGTGGTTTTTAGACACTTAACATATGATCACATGTAAAAGGCCTGTGAGTTTTCTGTAAGGGCTGCATGCTGTAGTGGTCTCTCCTCTTTAACACACTTGGTTCACCTCAGGAACGGCTTATTGATTAGTTCATTACTTAGACCAGCTGTGTTGGAGCTGAAGAAACTGTTCAGGGCAGTTACTCCAGGACAACGATTGACCACTGGCCTAGACTCATTTTTGCTCTGCTTGTCTGATTGGTTGTGTTGTGCTTACAAACTTTGAAGAAAAAAAAAACAATGCAAATTTGGCAAAGGGAACCGTTCTGCAGGCACTGTGACATTGTTGTACAGCGCTGTGAAAAAGTATTTGTCCCCACACGATTTCTTCTATTTTTGCTAATTTGTCACATTTAAATGTTTCAGATCATCCCAATGATTTTAATACAAGATAAAGACAACATGAGTAAACACAAAATGCAGCTTTGAAATGATCATTTCATTTATTGAAGATTAAGATTTATTCAAAACCTGTATCACCCGTGTAATTGCCTCCTAAGCCTAATTACTGCTTGTGCCACCCTTGGCAGTAAAAACTGCAGTCTGTCGTTTGCGATAACTTGCGATGAGTCTTTTACTTTGCTGTGGAGGAAATTTGGCCCACTCTTCTTTGCAGAACTGTTTTAATTCGGCTACATTTGAGGGTTTTCAAGCATGTGCTGCCCATTTAAGGTCTTGTCACAGCATCTTAATTGGATTTAAGTCAGGACTTTGACTCGGCCAAAACTTTAGCCATACAGAGGTGGACTTGCTTGTGTGCTTCAGATCATTGTCCTGCTGCATAACCCAGCTACACTTGAGCTTCAGGTCACAAACTGACAGGCTGACATTCTCCTTCAGATTTTTCTGATAGAGAGCAAAGCAGCCCCAGACCATCAAACTACCACCACCATGTTTGACTTTTGGTATGATGTTCTTATGGTTAAATGCAATGTAGCTTTATGCCAGCTGTAACCCATGTCTTCCAAAAAGTTCTACTTTTGACTCATCAGTCCTCAAAATGTTATTTCAAAAGTCTTGAAGTCGTCTAGATGTTTAAGGCAAATGTGAGACGAGCCTTCTTTTTCTTTTTGGTCAGCAGTGGTTTGTGCCTTGCAGCTATCGCATGGATGCCAGTTTTGTCCAGTGTCTTTCTTATTGTGGAATCATGTACATTGACCTTAACTGAGGCAAATGAGGACTGCAGTTCTTTAGATATTTGTCTGGGTTCTTTTGTGACCTACTGGAAGAGTCGTCGATTCGCTCTTGGTGAAATTTTGTTAGGCTGGTGATGTCTAGGAAGGTTCACCACTGTTCCAAGTTTTCTCCATTTGTGGATGATGGTTCTTTTTGACTTACAGTAGTCAACTGAATTTGGTTAACCGGTTGATTACGTAACTAAGGGGGCAGTTACTTCTTCACACGGGCCAGATAGGGCTGAACAGCATTTTTCCTTCAATAAATGAAATCATCGTTTAAAAACAGCATTTTGTGTTTTCATTTGCGTTATCTTTGTCTAATGTTAAATGTAGTTTCATGATCTGAAACATTCAAGTGAGACGAATATGCAAAATAGAGGAAATTGGCAAATACTTATTCACAGCACTGTAAGATCTGTCTTAGCTGTTTTATCTGAAGTACTGCCAATCACTTCATTACAAGAACATAGTGAAGTAAAAGAGCCCCATTCATTGCCTTTAGGAGGAGCTGGGGTGGTGTTTGTGATCCACATCTAATCATCCAACAGCAGTGCCTGACTCACTAATGCTCTTGTGGCTGAACTCTGAAGTTTGCTTATTATGTTTGTGGATGACACCATCTTGGATGGTCTGCTACATGCTTGGAGGAAGTGAGACATCATGGTGTGGTCATGGTGTGAGCCGACAGCCTCACAAAAAACTGTAGAGAAGAGCTTTGCAGAATTAGGTGGGAACTATGGCAAAAATATTATATCACAATTCTTCAAGACATTTTAATTTTTCTGAAATTAATAAGTTGAGATCCACTATCACAGCTATGAAGAAGGCCCAGAAGCACCTGTGACAGCGCAAGAAATTTAGGTTCCCTCAAGCAGTGCTGGTCTATGGTATTTAATTATGGTACACCACCATAATGGAAGCATCTCCGTCTGGTTCAGCTGTGCATCTTCATGCACCAAGTAAAGCTACAGCTTATTGCTCAGAAAAAAACACTAACATTAGATTAAATACAAATAATAATAATACAGTAAGGAGTGGTTTTACGTGTGTCAGTGTGTTTGTCAAACCATTTCCATACCTCTCCTCTTGGCAGCCAGGTGTTACTTGTGTTTGTCATCTAGTAGCTGGGGGTTGTTGAGCAGTTCTTCGTTAAATTAAATCAAGTATGCTTGTGATGGAATTAAAAAAATCCATGTGATTAAGAAAAAAGGAGAAATCTGGAACTAAACTTAGTTCTTCAAAGCTCACAGCTACTTCTTGTTACTTTTTCCTGTATTTATGTTTATTTGCGTCTATTGTAATGATATGTGGTGTTTTTAAACTCCAGTTGCATGTTTTGTAGATTATATTGTGTATATTGTGTACATATTCTTTTTTAATATTTTTATTTTAACGCATGGTGACACCTGCGCCAAGAGAATTTTTTTGCACACTGTGTACTTGGCAAATACAGATTCTAATCCTCATGCTAAATGCAATAAAATCTTCACAGCAATGTTCCAACATCTGGTGTAAAGTCTTCGCAGAAGAATAGAGGCTGTAACTGCAGCAAAGAGGGACAAACTCTCTATTAATACCCTTGATTTCAGATGAAACACTGGATGATCTGTTACCATGCGTGGTTTATCAGGCTCCATCTACTTCATTCATCATTGGTCAGTATCTAACTACAGGACCACGACTTATGAACAGATGTTATTTGGGTGGTGTACCAGGCACAGTGGTGTTGGCTGGAGTTTTTACACACGTCAGTGTCACTGCTAGATTGAGACAGTGGTCCACCACCCAGAAATGTCCAGCAAAGTGTGGCGCTGTGGTCAAAAACTGATCACTGATGAAGGACTAGAGCAGAGGTGCACAACTCCAGTCTTGGAGGGCTGGTGTCCAATACAGTTTGATGATTAACCTACTTAAACACACCTGATTACACTTATCGGTAGTGGGTGTGTGAGGTGAGTAGGGAAACCTCCAAACCGTGCTGGACGCCAGCCATCCAGGACTGGAGTTGTGCACCGCTGGATCAAAGGAAGTTGAAACAATTTGTGCATGCAGATCTCCAACTGTACACCAGCAGTGTCGACCTACAAGTAGAGCTGGGCGATATGGCCAAAAACGTTATCACGATAAACAAAATTCATATTGTTCGATATCGATACATATCGCGATAAATGTCAAATCATGATTTCTTTCACGTTTGAAGGCTGATTTTGCTCCTGGGTGGTTAATTGTGGTTTTAAACTATCACTTATGGTCCGATCATGACAAACATTTGGCAAACAGTGGAACATTTCACTAATCTGTCATGGAAGAGTGGGAGAAAGTTTCTGAGCTGTTTTTATCAGCTTGAAAAGCACAGCTGCAATTTTTGTAATAGTCAAGATTTAAGAAAGATTATTTTTAGCTGTGTGGTGACGAGCGCTCGGCTACCCCGTTACAAATGCTAAACAAGTGGCCAGCAACAGAGCTAATCTCTTTAGTTTCTCAACATCGTCAACTCGGTTCGGTAGGTCACTGCGGTCACTCCTACCACATCCATGTCAGAGCATATCACAGTATTCAGACACCAGCTAGACGACTGGGTTTCTCTATGCTGTCATAGCAGTTTAAGGGGTGAACTGCAGTATATCTGACGTTCACTGTGTAAAAGCATTATCTGCAGTGTGAATCTCTCACACCAGACAAACAGAGTCCTCCTTTTAGGCATGTTTAAACTGAAAGCGGTGATTTTGTGTCTTGTTTGATCTACCGTATCATCAGTTCACCGTGTTTTGCCGGAGCGCTGCTTCAAGTTAGCCAGCAGCTAAAAACAGCTAGCCTGCAAAGATGGCGCTCTCCCGCTCTCCAATGCCTCACAGCTTCCTCAGTTTACTTTCGAACATGAACCCACTTCTTTCTTTCACTTTTTTTCTTGCTTGAGAATGCACTAATACTAAAATATGACGGTTTGGCGCTGAAACACGGCGCTGCAGACGTGATTTAACACCGCTAAAGTTGTTAGGATGTACGGAAAGAGGTGAGTTCGCTGTAGGTCAGTACAGTTACACCACTGACCTCGTCACTCACACTCGGTCACAGGAGAACAGATCGCCGGTCGCTCCACTCAAACAGGGAATGTATAACTCCGCGTTTCAGCCGTTGCTAAAGTATATTTGGCGACCCTTTTTTTACTCGTGGCCCCCTCCCTCTCTAATCAAGTCGAAAAATTCGGAAGTGCGCCCTCTCCTGGCGACAGCAGAGTAGTGTCGCTTTCCTTGCAGTAGAAAACGCCACCAGGGCTTTCGGTAAAACGTGGAGGTGTGAGAACGGTGTATTATATCGAACATTTATCAAACCTGTCTTATCGCTCTATCGAGGAAAAGTTATATCGCGATACTTATCTTTATCGTTTTATCGCCCAGCCCTACCTACAAGTTAAGTGTTTGTAATGAAATGACTAAGAAGTGTGTTTTTGTTTGTCAACATACAATCGTGTGCACCAGTTTGGATGCTGTGACATGTTTTGTTGCTTTTGTAAGTCAAAATAAGTTAACATATCTCTACAGTGAACACACCTCTGCACATTTTAATGTACGATTCCTGTTTATTTGGTTAATCCAACTGGAAAAAAAAACAACATAAAATAAGAAATAAAATAAGCATCTGTGCAAAAATTATTGGGGGCAAAAAATAAAACATAAAATGTGCCACATGTTCAACCCGGCAAAAAAATAGAAATTGTGCTGTAAAATTTGCAGAAAAATGTCACATCTGTGTTCTCTGTAGAGAATGCGTTCACTCACTTTCACTTAGAAAATCAACAAACTGTGTATTTTTGACCAGAGGTGTTTAAAATTTTACTGTACACATGTATCCAGTGCATTTTAAATGCCTGGTGTTGGTAGGTATTAGTAGTTTACCCTCTGTCCCTTTTTGTTTTCAGCATAAAGCATGTGTCATAAACATAGGCCACCTCTTTTCAGAAATGCTGCACAGAGATCAGATTCAGCTGAAAAGCGAGGAGAGGAGATGATGCATCTGGCAGTGGTGGCTTGTGGGACGAGACAGGAGGAAGCTGTCAGCCTGCTGAAGTCTGCAGTCATACTGAGCCACAGAGCGATGAGGTTTCATATATTTGCTGAGGATCAGCTGCACAGCCGTATAAAGACAGTTGTGAGTAGCGTTTTATCTCCTTCTGTTTAAGCACATGTTAAACTATATCAACTGTTAATTATAAACACTACTGTAAACTTTATTCTACTCTTTATAACACATTCACGTTTTCACATTCAGTGCACGCTCTTCAGTCCATGACCTGTAGTCTGAGCAGAATCAGACAGTTCTGGCTCGGAAGTAACTCCTCCCCTAATATTCCTCATATGCAGCTGGATTCTTGGCCTGACTTTGTCAGGCAGAAGTTCAACTACACTGTGTATCCGGTCTCCTTCCCCAGCCAGCACCAGAGCGAGTGGAGTAAGCTTTTTAAGCCCTGTGCATCACAGAGACTTTTCCTGCCTGTAAGTCCACTTTCTATTTCTTGTGAGTGAAGCATGCATTGATTTTGTGGTGTTTGCAGTACAGTTGACAGCTTTCACTTTTTTTTTTATACTTACAGTACTGAGCAAAAGTGAGACCACTCTTCATTAATTCAATTTCCAAGCAAAATGACCATTAAGCACTTTTAGTTCTTCATTATTCATGAGATATTTCTGAGGAGTTAATATAATCATCCACTTTTATAAAGAAGGTTGAAAGTCAAAGGAAAATAAGTGAAAAAACTGGAGTTTCCAAAACTGGAGTTCCAAAAATGATGTAGAAGATGTAGAGAAAATTGGACTCCTAACAAACGTGCACCTTTTAGACCACCAAACCTGTCACCGTCAGCTAAACAGTACTTAAAGCTTTCATCTCTGAGAGAAAATCAAGCTCCACTCTTGTTTCAGATCTGAAAAAAAGTTCACAGCTGTTTCTGCCCATCCTTCCACTGTGAGTCTGAAAGGGAGGGTAGCTGAAAAGAAGCCTTAACTGTGGAAAAAAAAATAGACATGCAGAAGAAAATGTGCAAATCAAACAGAGGAGCTACTGTGGTCTGAGAATAACAGACTGACCACCCCAGAGTCCAGACCTCAACATCACTGAATGTGTTGGGGATTATTCGGATCATGAGAATCATAAAATGTAACCAACTTCTACAACGGAACTTTGGAGGTGTGGAAAAATATCCCTGCAGATTTCTTTGAAAAACTATAAGCGAGTCTCATGAAAAGAATGGAAGCTGTAATAAAGGCAAAGAGTGGACACACTAAATACTGAGAAATGCTCGTTTTACATTTAGTTGTTGAGACTTCTGCATCTGTAAATTATGTTTTGTGCTTTTATTCCTAACACTGAGAAACGAATAACTTGTACTTATTGCCCGTTTTAACTTAAAAAAAAAAAATAAAAGGCTTGTCTCTGACACTTGCATAGTATCTAACAAAGTGCACCTTTATGGTAAAGTAAAAAAATTGGCCAGTAAGTGTTGCTGAAAGGTGGGATCCTTTAGTCAAAGCCTTATCAAATATCAAACTGTAAACGTTCTGTATATTTATATGTTGAAAATCATGGGTTACACGTTTTTACTGGCTCCTCACTCTTGTCTTCATGCAGATGATTCTAAAAGAGGTGGACTCCCTGCTGTATGTGGACACAGACGTGCTGTTCCTGCGGCCTGTGGAGCTGCTGTGGGACCTTTTCATGCAGTTTAACTCCAGCCAGCTGGCGGCGATGGCCCCAGAGCATGAGGAGCCGCGCATTGCCTGGTACAACCGCTTCGCCCGCCATCCATATTACGGAATGACAGGCATCAACTCGGGTGTCATGCTGATGAACTTGACCCGAATGAGGCGGGTTCAGTTTAAGGTGAATGTTGTCAATGTCTTGTAACTACCACTAATATCCACAAGATGGTGATGGAGTTCAGTAGGAAGCAGTACTGCTAATCTGACGTTATGAAAAGCAGGGTCCAGACGTTATAACTGAAATGTGCTTATGATTTTAATACTCTGTTAAGTAAATAAATGTTTGGTGTAATCTCTGTGTGTGAACAGAATGACATGACAGCAATTGGTCTGCACTGGGAGGAACTCCTGGTGCCCCTGCTTCACAAATATAAACTAAACATCACCTGGGGAGACCAAGACCTCATTAACATCATCTTCCATCATAACCCTGGTAGGCCTCAGAATGCTTACATTGGAATTCCACTGATTTTTAAGAACAGTTCTGAGTAATTTAATCATAAAGTACACAAAGTAATTTGAAGTGATTTGACAATAAGCAACAGGAACCTGGGGCCGTATTACAGAAACTTCTTAAATCTGAAATCTCATCTGTTTAGTCACCATGACAACTTCAGTTAGGACTGAATTCAGGACAGAAGCTAAAACAGAACAGTTCTTAAGTTCATAATCTTATCCTAACTCCAGATAAGAGAGCAGTATTACAGAAACATCCTAACTAGCCTAGATTTTCTAAATTCTGTCCTACCTTTAAGACAACCCCAGAGCTGTCTTAACTTTCATTATAACTGGCTGTTAGTATCGTTTTATGCAGTGACAGGCAGCACAGTTGGCTATAACTAGCATAATGGTGCTACATTTATCTACATTAACAAAATGGTTGTTTGACTTATGAGGGTTTTTTTTTAATAGTGTTTTAAAAATCCCAGACACTGCAGACACGATCTCCACCGCCCCCTCCAATTACCTTTGTGTGTTAATGTTGATGAAAACTTGTTAGATTAAAATCTTACAGTGATGGTGGTGAATAATGAGGAGACAGAGCTGAGCATGTGGCTGTTTATTAGGAGGAATAATGTTAGTGTGCTCAGCTAAAACATTTGGGAAACTGAAACTGGGGAGCGGCGGCGCTCTGAAAACAGCATGAAGCACAGTCACAATATTCTTAATTTCAAGTGTATCTCGCTTTAGTTTTGTTTGACCTTTTTACATCAGTAAAGGTAGCTAACGTTTGCTGTCTGGCTAACTAACTTGATTATTTGGATTTCATGTTTACGTTTCAGCTGGGCGTGTATGGTCAGTTGCTAGGTGACAGACATGACAATTGATTGTCGACTCCGATCAAAGAAGATAAGATTAGATTCCTAAATGATGTAAGATAAGATTCCTAAATGATGATAAGATTTGCGTCTGTAATACGAATTTGTTAAAAATCTTATCTTGACCTGTCAGATCTTAACTTAAGTCAAAAAGATAGGACGTTTCTGGTAATAGGAATACATTTGCTGATGCCTGAGACATTGTTGTAATGATATATTTGAGAAGGATTTAGCCTCAAATGTATTTTTAAAAGCCATTCATGGTGAAGATGTACATGCATGGCTTTAAATACATTTTGTATTTGTCTTTCAGCAATGGACTTAAAAATCTGCTCCAGCTCAAGTTCATTTTATAAGTGTACTGTATGCTCCTGGATTGTACACAGTACTTAAAAATCTCTGCCTGAGCCACTCGTACCAGCACCACATACACATACTACCATGTCACTACTATGTCAGTGTTACTGCTGTGTTCAGAATGACCACCTGCACAGATTATATCTGATCAGCAGTGGTCCTGTGGTGGTCCCTTTCTATTGATACATAGAGGTGGAGTGGTGGCTGAGAAATTATGCATTAACAATAAGGTTACAGTCAGTACAAAGTGGTCAGTGAGGTACAGGGCAAACAGTTTGGTAGCAGTGTAATTTTAGATGCTCAGTCTGTCATTAACTAGCGCTTAACTAAATATGTATGTAACTGCAAATAAACATGGAGCTGAGTGTAATAGATTATATTAAATCTAACCCTGACCCTTACCATAGTGATGTTGACAATCAACTATCACCAGAAAGTTTGTTAATAAATAATGCATCTATAAATCATTTATAGGGGACCATCAAAATAAAGTGTGACCCAATATTTTAATTTACATTAATGGTGGCTAGCTGAAATTTAAGTCTTAATACTTAAGAAATGCCTTTTTTATCACAACAGAGAAGCTGCTGGTGTTCCCATGCCACTGGAACTATCGTCCTGATCACTGTATCTACGGCAGTAACTGCAGCCCAGCGGAACAGGAAGGGGTGTTTGTTCTTCATGGCAATAGGGGAGTGTTCCACAGTGAGAAACAGCCTGCATTCAGGGCTGTGTATGAAGCCATTAGACAGGTGAGAGATACACGGTCCTTTCTCAAGTTCTGCAGATTTGTGTATGATAGCAAGATAAGCAGTTGCTTTTAGAGCTTAGAATATTTGTCCATACAACTTATGTGTGTTTCATAGCTTATTTCTGCTTGCCCCATTGGCCCTTTTTAGGTATTTTTAAAATAGTTTTCTCATAACTGTTGTCAGATTAACCAGGACACAGTTGGCTCTCTGAGTGTGAAATGGCCATGTTGAGCTGCTAGCGAGCAATGGGGAGTGAAAGAGGTGGGATAAGAACCCCCCGCTGTAAAGTCACACCTCTTGACTTGCTTGCTAACCTGCGAAGAAGAAAATCCAGTTTGCTTCCAGTTTTGTAAATCATAAACATTTCCATTTAAATGTATTCCATCAAGGGCGGCACGGTGGCGCAGTGGGTAGCACTGTCACCTCACAGCAAGAATGGCCTGGGTTCGATTCCCGGCCGGGCGACCAGGAGTTTGCCTGTTCTCCCCGTGTCTGCGTGGGTTTCCTCCGGGTACTCCAGTTTCCTCCCACAGTCCAAAAACATGCAGTCAGGCCAATTGGACGAGCTAAAATTGCCCCAAGGTGTGAGTGTGTGTGAATGTGTATGTCTGTCTGTCTGCCCTGCGATGGACTGGCGACCTGTCCAGGGTGTATCCTGCCTTCCGCCCAATGACAGCTGGGATAGGCTCCAGCACCCCACCGCGACCCAGAAGGATAAGCGGTTTAGATGATGTATGTATGTATTCCATCAAAGTTATTGAAGGAAAAACAGGGCCTCCAAAACAGGCGGAGATTCCATTTTATGCTTGCTGTGAAAAAGGGTTAAACAGTTACGCTGTAGTTGAGGTGGTATTTAATTATATTCTTGTTTTCTTGTTTTCTCCCTGTAGTACTCCTTTGGAGAGGATTTGGTAAACTCATTCTGGTTGCCCCTGGAGGAGAAGCTGAATGAGACCACTCACACGTACTGTGGAAAAATCAGTCATCTCTTTACCAAGACGCTGAGCCAAACCCTAAGATCCACCCAGAGAACCACTTCACCAGACTACAGAAACAAAGCTTAATGTATGCTGCATTCTCTCAGTGGCTTACCATGTTAAAGACTGCACGTGCCTTTGGAATGGTGATTGAGACCTCTTGACATTATGAACTGGATTAATGACAGTGTTCAGGCCTGAACTTTGTACACCTACCTTAACATTAGATTAAATGGATCTGAATATGACGATGCACAATAAGCTCAGCACTACATCAGCAGTTATTTGGTTAAAGTCAGATGATCAACATTGACTTGATATTTGGATGTAACCTCATGAACCTCATATTTAGTAAAAGTAGCCTCAGTTACTGAACACAGAATGACAGATTTTGCCAGATTTTGTAAAACGTGAAGCAGATATTTCTTGAATACATCATATACTTTTAGATTTGCTCAGTTTGATCTGTTATCGTCTGTTTTTATGTTTAAATGTAAAACTGAATTTGGTGTAAGCATAATTGATTAAGCAGGAACAGAAAAATACTCAGGGATGTAAATTTGTATATTTTGTGCTAGATGATGTAAATAAAAAGATCTGAAAGTATTTTGGTAAAATTTCTGATGAGAATATGATATTGATTGTACTGTTGGTAGTCCTGTATATATACATGATGCTGGTCAAATGTTTAAAGACAGTTTGTTAACTTCTGAAATGCTCAGTGTTTTCAGTGATTTTTCACTGCTTCTTTTCAATTAAGTAAGAATGTATGTGCAAAGCTTTTGTTAACATACATTTTTTCTACTACATACAAAAATTAGTTCTTCAAGGGTTCTTTAGTAAAGATAGAACACTCAGAGAACCCTTTGCATGATTAAAGGGTTCTAAGCATCGTGAAAGGGTTCTTCAGATTGATTGAGAATGTACTGTAGATGGTTCTAATATCGAACTTTTTGAAAAGGGTTCTTCACTTTTGGACCATTGCTGTTGGCCTATTCATCATGAAATTTTAACACAATATAAAAGGCAACTGGAGTTTTCAAATTAGGCTAAAAAAAAAAAATATTAAACACAACAAAAATGGAGGTGCAAGGTTTTGTAGCGACAGCAGCGATATATTACTTCATACACTGGTGTGCATGTATGTTATACACTGATGTTAAGTAGCTAGCTTTGATGCGTTTATATGTTCAAGGAGGAAAACCACAACAAATGATGGATATTCTAACTACAGAGTGCAAGATGCCACACAGTTCATTCAGTGAAATTCAGGCATGATTTAAAGATCTTGTGAGGCTAAGCTGGGAAACGTATAGGGGAAAAAGCAGTGTGAGGTTATGTAAGGCTAGAAAACCTATAAAATGGTGATTAAACATGGAAAACTATGTCATTTTCTTATTTTGTTATTATTTTTCATTTTCTTTGTGTTTAATTTTCTTTGTGTTTCTTTGAGACTGTACTGAGGACCATAGAATGCCTGACACATGTTGTCGTAATCATCTCGAGGGTGCTGCTGTATTCTTTCTTTATCTGTTTTGTAGCTCCTCTAGTCTTGAAAACAGCCTCACACTTCATCATACTGTACTGAAGTTTTTAAAAACGATTTAAAGGAAATGCTTCCCACACATTCTTCACTCCACAGACCATCCATACATTTTGGAGTTTTCTACTCCACATATTTCCCAATGTAGCCTCGCAAGTTCTCAGTGGGTTTTAAATAGTGCCTCAATTTCACTTCATGAACTGTGAGGCATCTTGCATTGTCTCACTGGATTATCCATCGTTTGTTGTGCTTTTCCTTCTATAAGTGAACAGACACATAAAACACATCAAAACATTTACTAAACATCAGTGTATGGGTGCAGTTATTTTGGGCTGCTGGCGTATTTTACCTTTGATATAACAAAACCGTGCTGTAGTCTGGGAAACAACCACTAGAGGACAGCATGGGTTCACCTCACAATGACCTGTGCTTGAGAATCTTCACGCTGCTATGAAGACAATGACCACAGCTTTGCTCCGAAAACATGTGCCCTTGGAATGACCACGTCTAATCTAAATCAGTTAATCACCGAACAGTATCCCCTTATGTACTAGTAATAAAATTCTGTTTATGTTCTCTGAAAAACATTAGTGCTTCCATCAGTCTGTCCCTCATGATGTACACATGACATCACTTCACTGTGTGTTGCTCCTCTGAAAGAATGCATCGGTGTATAATCTGTGTGAATCCCCTGAGACACTGGATGCTCTGTAATGGTGAGCTTATCATAAACATAATGAGCAAAGCTTCTTGTAGAGGTGCTCGAACAACAGCAAGTGAGGAGAAACACTGCTTGTTGCACATCCAAAAGGATGTAATTTTGTGTAAGACGCACAGATACACACACACATAAGGAAGTGGTCTGAGTGTATAGGCACTATACACTATCATCTGTTCTTCAAAAAAGCTCCAACATACACTTAATATTTTTCTTGTGAAATGTATATCAAATATCTACAGGTGACTACTACATTAGGTATTTACAGTTTAATTCTGTAAATGAGAATTACAGTAGTATTCCTGTAAAATTACAATAAATGACTCAGATCACTGCAGGCAGCTGAACATAAATGTACAGAGTTTTTTTTTTACAGTATAGAAAAAAACATAAATATATACAATATATAAGAAATTTGTTATTTACCATTTGCTTGATAGATGAGCCTGTACTGAGTTACCTGTGTTTCTCTGTCTGAGAGTGAGGAAAGTGGAAAATCATGATCACATCAGAACTTATCATTACCCATAACTTTAAAATCACACATTTCACAAAACAACACCAACAACTGGAGAGAAAAAAAAAGAAAAAAGGAAGGTGGAAACAATGGAATATTTATTTCAACTTCAAGTTAAGTCCCATGTTGTTCTGTTAAATCATTTCTATTAATTTCATACTAGAGCTGCTAAAAACATCTAACCAACGTCAGAAGGCTACAAGCACACTAGCCGACTCAAAACCTTGACCAATTGGCATAAAGCTGCTTAAAAAAAGCTGTCATGATTGGTGCAATGACAGGAACGGCCCCTTGAAAACTGATTGGCTTTTGACACAAATGACGTTCATTTGTTTAAGTTTTGAGTGTAAAGAGGACCACTGAGCAGGTTTTCAGGTTTTGAGTGACGTACGACATCTGAAAAGATAAAAGCATTGTTGTGCAGATATTCAAGTTTTGAAAAAAGCCAGAGTGTTTTGTTCTGCGCCTTCCACCCAATGACTGCTGGGATAGGCTTCAGCTCCCTCCGTGACCCAGAAGGATAAGCGGCTTAGAAGAAGCGTTTTGTGTTTACTTGGGTTATCATTGTCTAATATTAAAAGTAGATTGATCAGAAACATTCAAGTGTGATAAATATGCAAAAATAGAAGAAATTGGGAATGGGGCAAATACTTTTTACAGCATGGTATACATGTATATATATATATTGTTCTGCAAATCCGAAGACGTTTACCTGCACACTCCATGCTTACAAGTGCATTCCAGTTCATTAGCTGGGCGCTCAGAGCACCGCTGTCCTTTCAAAGTGTAATATTCCTTAATATTACACTTTGATATTCATAATCTCCTCTCAAACATACTATGGAGTTAATTTAGCACCAAAATGTTTTAGAGAAGATTATGAAGTTTGAAAAATACACTTTCATGAAAATTGCAACACATGCACAGCATTTTACAAACATGCTGTACAGAAAGTATGTGCAACTGCAAAGTCATTCACATCACAGTCCAGAGGACACTCAAAGAGCACAGAGCCATTCAAACTTTTAAATCCAGTAGGATAACTTTTATTTGAGCAGATAATGATCAATGTATCATAGTGGTAAGTGGCTGTAGAGAGCTGTAAAATTTCACATACTAATACCAGATATGACATATCAGATAGCTAACTAGTCAGCCGAGTTAACAATGAACTCACTTTAACATGAGACTCTGATCATGACTCTGAACATGAGAAGTCTAATCGACTTCTGTCAGCGAGTTTTCCATCACAGATATTCCATCCCCTTTTGAAAGTCTTCCAGAAACATTTCCATTATGTTGTGACTCACTTTTGTTGTGACTGGCTTTGCAGCGTTTCTGAAGTTGCATGTGTTTTCTACATTTGCAGTGCATTTGTGAAATGTAGTTCCAGTTCCAAAAGATGGCTCAGAGGAAGCATGTGCTCTCCCTTCACTCTCCCAGCTTGGAAGCATCATGTAATAGGAAGAGATCTAACCAGCCACAACTAATATAATTTGCCATGACTGAATTGGGGGAAAAAATATATTAACACTGGAGGTGGAACTTCCCAGAATTCCTTGCCATTTTGGATGTTTGTTAGCTTTTATTTTTAAATCTACAGTTCATTTCTTATTAGCTTTTTCCCAGAACATTATTGTTACTATATATATGTTTAAATGCATTTTAAATGTTTTGTTATTCCAGTCATGGCCAATTTCACAGACTAGCATAAATGCATTCACCTATTGTAATGTCTTCTTTTGTATATTGTCGTTGTCTAAAGAAAATCAATTATCTCCAATTTTGGAGTATTTCTATTGGTCCATTCATAATGAAATTTTCACACAATGTAAAAGCAGCTGCTGAGCTCAAAAGATGTAGAAAAGTAATACCTGAAGCACATATTTTTCTTTGGACAGCGGCGATATGGTGTGCTTGCTGAACAGTATACTGCTATTGTATATAAAAGCTCAATCATGTTATTCCTCAAAAAGCTGTGAATAGTTGCAAATCTAACAACTTTGTTATCTGTATGTTTCTAAAAATTCATTAGGTATTTACAGTATTATTTTGTAAATCAGAATTACAGTAGTATCCCTGTAAAATTACAGTAAATGACTGGGATCACTGCTGGCAGCTGAATGTAAATATACAGAATTTTTTTTTGTTTACAGTAAAGAAGAAAATTGCTATTTAACTAATTGCTTGATACATGAGTCAGTACTGAGTTCCTCTGTCTGAGAGTGAGGAAAGGGGAAAATGGTGATCACATCAGAACTTACCATTACCGATAACTTTAAAATCAACATTTCACAAAACAGCACCAAAAACTGGAGAGAAAAAGGGAAAAAAAGGAAGGTGGAAACAATGGAATGTTTCTTTAAACTCCAAGTTATGTTGTCCGCCCATGTTATAGACAGGAGGAAAAAACACAGCCTGTTCTTTCTGACCTAACCAAACTGAAACATCCTATGGTGTGAGCTGCAAACACTTTAAAACAGAGCACATCCATCACCAGCCAAAAAAAAGGCAAGGTGATTGAGACATCTGAAGCCAGCTCGAAGTGTGAAGAATTGTCAGAGTTTCCTGCTGAATTATTAAAAAGAACCTGCTCGCTTTGACAGCTAGCCATCCTTGCCCTGGGAGATATTTCCATCCTTTGTAGCTGGAATATTGGAGAGAAGAAAATATTAGTGTCATTGTTACAGCTTCAGCTACGAAACATGAAAGAGAATATTTCCCAAGGACAATAAGGAGAAAAAAAACGTGTGCTCTTACTTTAGAGCTCACTGGTCAGCTACGCCTTTT